ATAGATAGAACAGGCAAATGGCATGCAACTTGTGTCTACTTTCTACTGTGAGCCTTGTGTTTTCAAATGCTATGCAATTTTGACATGTCTTTTCTATTGTTGGATAGCATTCTTGAATGTAGTGAATAAATGCGGTTAATACCCAGGAATTGTGGTACAACGTAGTTTCAACATCAAAGATTGGCGAATAGGCTACATTAGATTTTGTTTGACTGTACCTTTAAATTGCATATGCTATGCATTACGCTATTCAATCACAGTAAAGCATTGAATAATTTGCTTTTGTGATGTCCAGGTGTCCAACATCAGTTTGGAATAGTACACAAGCAGAGAATACCTCGCATTCCCGTCGTGTCACATTCGCACACTCCCCGATTGTGCGCGCGAACCATGGTCAGCCGCGCGGCCACCGTTACATCAATTAAGGCCTTATAAAGAAAACTTCTAAAACCAGCAGTGATGCATACAGATTTAATCTGCAATATGAAAATGCAAACTTCATGTAAGATTAAATCATTTTCGACCGAGAAGTCGGATGGAGCATATAAAGGAAGCCTTTTCTGCCTCATCGAAGTCCCTCCAAGACAGCACAACTGAATGGGTCTCTCAATGCATTTGCCCTTACCTGCCCACTGTTTGGTTGGCGAGCTGTCGCATTCTATTGAATTGCTTCTTCATCTTCTATTTTTCTGCGTTAACACCGATAGTAAGAGCGACTCCACATATCTCATCGACAAAAAGTCCTGTTCTCCAACGAGGATAACAAGACAGTCCACCCTTTAACGATCCGTTTTTATCATAGCCATAAGGAATGCATCGCAAATAAAGAGGAATAGGTGAGACAATTTCAACGGATTTTATGGTCTCTGTCACGCAGTCCACTGCTCAGAGATGCTGGACCAATTTCTCCGGGCAGAGTGACAGCTCACAAGACGCTGCGCACTAGCGCAGTATGGGGAATGTAGTTTCACCAACCAAACGTTGAGCCTACAAAGAGACCATAATGAATTCTTTATGATACAGTGTTTAAAACAAGGTGAATCAACTATTTTTTTCAACCTGACAAAAGATCTAGCTAACACCCTTGTTCAGTTTTAAAGCAATTCCATTGCTCTATAGGTTACATTGAAAAATAAGAATTGAGTGGGAATTCGTATGGGCCAAGGTCTACTTGCAGACCCCAAGTACCAAAATGTACTTTTTGTATTTCATTATAGCCAATTTAATCTACTTACAATATTAGGTTAAATATGCATCTAATACAGCATGTCAGATAATGTCTGAGGAACCTGGTTTGATACCTGGTTGGTCACACACAGACCCTGGCACATATCCCTAAAATGTCCTTATGTTGAACAATTTGGTTTGTTGATAGTATAATAAAGCAGTCAGGTAGTATAACTAGTTTAGGTTGGCCTACTCAGCAGAAAAAAAGGATTCTGTGGTTTAGTAAGGCAAACAGCATCATCTTGTGGCTATTAAAACATTACTACACTGAGAATCTGCATTTAAAGTGATTATACTGTGACTTGTCAAACAACACATCATTTATTAATTAAATTAATCTGAATATCATACCTATACAAGGGATGTTGTGTTTTCCTCCCCTAGAAATCTTGATGTTGGTTTTGATTTAATCTGATCTGATGGGTGCATGTGTGCTTAGTCCCCTCCTGCACTCCCTGTTCACCCACGACTGCGTGGCCACGCATGACTCCAACACCATCATTAAATTTGCAGACGACACGATGGTGGTAGGCCTGATCACCGACGACAATGAGACAGCCTATAGGGAGGAGGTCAGAGACCTGGCAGTGTGGTGTCAGGACAACAACCTCTCCCTCAACGTGAGCAAGACAAAAGGAGCTGTTCGTGGACTACAGGAAAAGGAAGGCCGAGCACACCCCCATTCACATCAACAGGGCTGTAGTGGAGCGGGTCGAGAGCTTCAAATCAAATACAATTTATTTAGAAAGCCCCTTTTACATCAGCAGATGTCACAAAGTGCTTATACAGAAACCCAGACTAAAACCCCAAAGAGCAAGCAATGCAGATGTTGGCATCGGTTCTGTGACACCATTGGAAGGGCGACACCTGTGGGAGAAGTGTGGGGGATGATTAAGAGGATGAGTGGGATCAGAAGGGAGTGGGATTATCCAGTGTTGACGAGTGGGGAGGATGTGGCAGTAATAGATGAGGAGAAAGCAGAGATGATGGCCAAAGCATTTGTCCAAGTGCATAGCTCCGCAAATCTGTCAGAGGAGGGGCAGAGGGGTAGAGAGAACACGAGAGAGGAGCATCCTGGAGTGCTGGAAAGGAGGGAGGATGTAAATGATGCGTTGAGTGCACCATTTACCAGGGCAGAGGTGAAAAGAGCAATAGGTAAGGGTGGGTTAACTTCACCTGGGAAAGATGAGGTGTGCTATGTTATGTTGGCCCATCTTAATGAGGCACTGGATAAGGTATTGGTGTTGTACAACAGAGTGTGGGAGGAGGGGAAACTACCAGGCAGTTGGAAGGAGGCAGTGGTGGTACCAATCCGGAAGCCCGGGAAGGATCCAATGAAGCCAATAAGCTATCGGCCAATAGCTTTAACATCACATGTATGTAAGATTATGGAACGGATGATTACGGAGAGGCTAACTTACTTCCTGGAGAGCAGAGGGCTAGTAACGCCACATTAGAGTGGGTTCAGGTAGGGTAGGGGAACTATGGATCCAGTGCTCTGCTTAGAAGCAGAGGTCAGGAAGGCTCAGGTGAACAAGGAGACTGTTGTAGCTGTCTTTTTTGATGTAGAGAAGGCGTATGATATGATGTGGAAGGAGGGGTTGTTAATCAAGCTTGATATTATGGGGGAGGAGGATGAATGTACAACTGGATAAAGGATTTCCTGTTTGGAAGGTCTATCCAGGTGAGGGTGGGGCAGTCTTTATCAGGCAGCTACTTGGTGGATAATGGTACACCGCAGGGGCGCGTGATTAGTCCTCTGTTGTTCTGAATCATGATCAATGATGTTTACTCTCAGGTACAGCCGGATATAGGGAGGTCGTTATTTGCAGATTATGGTTATTTGCAGATGATGGTGCCTTATGGAAGAGGGGAAGAAATGTGCCATACATAGTCAGGAAGGTACAGGAAGCAATTTATGAGGTACAGCGGTGGGCATTAATGTGGGGATTCAGGTTCTCTGTAGAGAAAACTCAAACAGTGTTCTTTACCAGGAGGAAGGTGGGAGATGAGGTATGCTTGAGGTTATATGGAAGAAACTTGGAGAAGGTGGGGGCCTTCAGGTTCCTTGGGGTATACTTTGATACTACACTGACCTGGAACACATTGAGAGAGTGGTGGGAAAGTGTAAGAAGGTGCTAAATGTGATGCGCTGTCTGACGGGGAAGGAGTTGGGGCCTGGGCGTTCCTCATTGAAGACCATGTATGTTGCATTGATCCGATCTGTAATAGTCTATGGAAGTATAGCATATGGTTCGGAAGCCCGGACCTCACTGGAAAGGCTAGATGTCATACAGGGGCAAGGACTCAGAATATGTAGTGGGGCGTTTCGGACGTCCCCAGTGGCTGCATTACAGGTGGAGATGGGGGATATGACGTTGCAGATTAGGAGACAGCAGCTGGCAATGAATTACTGGGTCAACCTACAAGGACATGGGGTGTCTCATCCTGCAAAAGGGATTTTACAGGCATGCTGGGAACATGAGCGAAGACCGAACACGAGCTTTGGGTGGGTGGGTAATACCCAGGTGAAGGAGATGAGACTGTCTGGAAGGGAGTTTAGTCCAACGGTAGTTATTCCTGTAAATCCACCATGGCTACTCCCGTCTCCAGTAGTTGATCTAGAAGTGTTGGAGAGACTACAGAAAGATAGGGAGGGTGTTGATCCAGCTGATTTCTTTAAGAGACGTCTGGAAACTGTGTATCAGGATTTTGTGGCCATTTAAACAGATGGTTCAAAAGATCCAAGGACAGGACATACTGGGTCAGCATTTGAAGTGCAGGAATGTGTGATGGAAGTCAGTAAACGTATTACAGATCATCTGGCTGTATATACGGCGGAGCTGATGGCCATACTGTTGGCCTTGCAGTGGGTGGAGGAAGTTAAGCCAGACAGAATAGTTATTTGCTCTGATTCATGTGCAGTGTTAATGAGTCTCCAGTCCTTTAGCTCATGTAGCAGACAATACCTGCTTTATGAGGTGCTACAAACCCATGGCAGGATTAAACAGATGGGTATTCAGATAAGATTTCCTTGGTTTCCAGCCCATGTGGGGGTGGAGGGGAACGAGGCAGTAGATGAACAGGCTAAACAAGCACTTAGTAGTGGGGATGTTGATGTTGAAGTGTCAATGAGCAAGGCAGAGGCAAAAAGACTGATATATACAGTGATGGTGAAGAGATGGCAGGAGCAGTGGAATATAAATAATAAGGGAAGACATTTATTTCAAGTACAGATGAAAGTCGGGTAGGGGTGGATGGCAGGAAGGGACAGAAGAGAGGAGGCTATTTTTACAAGATTAAGGGTGGGACACAGCCAGTTAAATAAGACATTAAACGTGATAGGAAAGCATCCATCAGGAAAGGCCGTCATTGTAAATAAGAATTTGTTCTTAACTGACTTGCCTAGTTAAATTAAAATGTACTTTATCCCCGTCTCTGGCCTACACTCCAGTACGGTAGGTGGCGGTAAAGCACCATAACGTTGGATGCCAACCGCCTACAACGCTCACTGAAGAAGAAGAACACCGTATTGTATCTATCCTTGCGTTGAAAAATGATTGGGTCGATAGGTGGCGGATGTGTTCTCTTTCTCGGAAATCCTAGCTGAAGAGGATGTTTTATATCTGTGGTAGCAGTTTACCAGAGTTTACTAGTTGAATGACACAAACGTTTTTATGTTTTATTGCTCATTTGATCAACATTTTCTTTACCTTGATATAGGATATCGTAATAGTATATTCGTTAATACATTGCATTTGGCCTGAGAGGAAATGCGGGACCGAACCAAGGAACTTGGCAATGTGAGTTTAAAAAGAAAAACAGGCTAGCTAGCAGGCTAGTTACTAACCAATATCAATGAATTTAGACTTTTATGCATGGTCAGCTGCAGAATTTGTAGCTATTTCATAGGGTATTCAATTTATTCTTTATCTGGTAGCTATTAGTGCTAGCTAGCTACATTGCTTGATAATTGGCGAACCTAGCAAGCTACTTGTTAACCTAGGATAGCTAGCTAAATTAGCATAGTTAAGAGAGTCTACAACCAAGGATGGGCCAGTGGCTAAAAGTGTAGTGAAAGTTCAATGGCGCACTCAATATGGGTTGCATGTTGGACTTACATGCTAATGACGTGATGATTTGATCCAATATTTCCCTATTCTCTCTTCCTCACACACCAGACCGCAGAGGCGTCAGACGAGGATGAAGAGGGTAGGGCCCTTATGATCAAACCGGGGATTTCTACAATGAAGGAAGAGAAGGACGTTTTTTTCAAGAAGGTGAAATCATGCAACTTAATTCAACAGTCAAGGCATCTGTTTGCATTTTTATGGTGACTTGATGTCAGTTTCAATGTTATGCTTCTCAGCAGTACTTTTCTCTTGGCTTGTGGTTGTGGATGCCAAGCACAGGAACAGTTTGTTGTGCCAACATAACTATCATTCTTGATCTGGCCGAAATATTGTCTAGTCAAAACCAGTAGCTTTTCTGTATGCCCAATGTACATGTTATGCGAACAGTCATCTTGTCAGTGATACACACGATGATGCAGAATTTGTTTCCTGGTCCTTACTTTAGTGCCCCAAAAAAGCAATTTCACAGTTTAGCTATTACATTTACCAGCCTGTTTATCCCTTCTCATCAGGTCCTAGAGATTCGAGAGGTAATGGAGACGCTTAAAAAGGTGGTCTCTGACCTTGAGAACAAACAGAAGACAGTGTTGGGTGTGGCACTGCCAGAGGACGGTCAGTAGATCAACACTAACACACTGACATTATTTGCTAATATGCTGAATGTAAATATATGGCATGGTGGTAATGTATGTAGGAGTTATTATATGATATACATAGAATATGGGCAATTCCAAAAGCTCTGTTAAATATAAAATACAGGTTAAATAATCAAAATAAAATATCTACTCCGAATTAAGATTCAAAGATGTCTGCAGAAAGAATGGGGTGTCGGCTATGATATGACACCTTGAGTTTGAAAAAAAACCTTTTGGTTATTGAACTACAGTGAGTGATGGTAACTGAATGACGACATGGGTCCCTGATTTGTACTATACAGAAATGCAGAATTATTCATGTCATTCTCTTCCATGGTGATGTATCCTGAATAAGTACACAAAGGTAGAAAAATGCAATATCCTCCTTTGCATGTTTGGGTATTATTCTATACATTCACTATTATTTTAATGAGCCCCCCCCCCCCCAAACATGACCAAATTTGGTTGGTCCAGACCGCACCAAATCTGTAAGAATCATAGATGTCTGTTTCACAAGTTTGGACATTACAGTAGAGTACAGCAAAACACAGTAGAGTGTAGTTCAGAACACTACAATACAGTAAATTGCTGCACTGTACTCTAGTGTGCTCTACTGTACTATACTATACTCCTATTGTACAGTACTATATTGTACTGACAAACTCTACTTTACTGTACTGTGCTGTCCAAACATGTGAAACAGCAGACGTCTCATGATTGGTTCAGATTTGGACTGACCAAATTTGAACTACTTTTCAACGTCCGTGGACGTCCGGTGTCGGTTGGTGCTCAGTGGGTGAGAGGGCTGGTTACAGTAAATGGAAAAAGAAGGGTCTCATGGGTAGGTGTCAGTAAGAGCCAGGAGAGGTGACATTAACTGGAGAGAGAGAGAAGTGAGACAAGGAGAGGGAGGGGTTGTCCAGACTGTTTTTACACTCTTGCGTTGACCACCATGCAACAAAGAAAACAGTTATGAGCTGAATATAACAGTATGTCAGTGGAAGGGAGGACAGTAACAGGTGACACAACTGTGGTTTGTGACTACTGGGTCATTCCACCTCAAAAAGCACAAGAAAGAAGATTGACACCCACCATCTCAGATTGTTCTGAAGAAGTTTCTGTTTTTAGAAACATAAGATTAGCATTCCTGCAACATTTTGTTGAAATATAATTTGATCTCTGAGAAATTAAGCTAATTGATCGCACCCAAATTGGCCATTTTTAATTTATAGGATTTATATAATATTCAATAAATATAGTACCTAACACCCGATTTGGACCAAACTTTGTTTTGAACAATGATTTAGACTTGAGAAATCCAAAGATATGGTCAAACGCCACCCAGGGACACCCCATGCCAATACCACCCCAACAACGAGTATATAGTATCAGTTCTCTATGTCTGACAAGTAGTATGGAGCTGCGGCTCGGAGTATTGTTTGTTCGTCCTATGTAGGCTTAATGTGTAGAAGTAGTATTTGAAGTTGTTTAGGTGTATGTCTCATCCTGATATTATCCGGTTCTGACCACTAGATGGTGCTGTTTTAGCTGATTTTATTGATAATGATTTTTTTTAAAGGGATAGTTCACCCAAATTACAAAATGACATTGGTTTACCTTATCCTGTAAGCAATGGACAAGGTCAGACAGCAGCAGTCCAATGCTTTAGTTTTGTTGTCTACTGTTTCAATTGCTAACCTTTTAGCATTTCTGTCACAAATTTAATGCAAGTAGGGCCTCCTGTAGCTCAGTTGGTAGAGCATGGCGCTTGCAACGCCAGGGTTGTGGGTTCGATTCCCACGGGGGGCCAGTATGAAAAATGTATGCACTCACTAACTGTAAGTCGCTCTGGATAAGAGCGTCTGCTAAATGACTAAAATGTAAAATGTAAGTAAATGGTGCAAACAGTGCATTCGGAAAGTATTCAGACCCCTTGACTTTTTCCACATTTTGTTACATTACAGCCTTATTATAAAATTGATTAAATTAATTGTTTTCCTCATCAATCTACACACTATACCCTATAATTACAAAGCGAAAACAGGTTTTTAGATATTTTTGCAGCATTGAAGGTCCCCAAGAACACAGTGGCCTCCATCATTCTTAAATGGAAGAAGTTTGGAACCACCAAGACTCTTATAAATAAAAAATAAAAAAAATTGGTCATTTAGCAGACGCTCTTATCCAGAGCGACTTACAGGAGCAATTAGGGTTAAGTGCCTTGCTCAAGTGCACATCGACAGATTTTTCACCTAGTCTGCTCGGGGATTAGAACCAGCGACCTTTCGGTTACTGGCACAACGCTCTTACCCACTAAGCTACCTGCCGCCCTCTTCCTAGAGCTGGCTGCCCGGCCAAACTGAGCAATCGGGAGAGAAGGGCCTTGGACAGGGAAGTGACGAAGAACCCGATGGTCACTTTGACAGAGCTCCAGAGTTCCTCTGTGGAGATGGGAGAATCTTCCAGAAGGACAACCATCTCTGCAGCACTCCACCAATCAGGCCTTTATTGTAGAGTAGCCAGACGGAAGTCACTCCTCAGGAAAAGGCACGACAGCCCGTTTGGAGTTTGCCAAAAGGCACCTAAAGGACTCAGACCATGAGAAACAAGATTCTCTGGTCTGATGAAACCAATATTGAACTTATTGGCCTGAATGCCAAGCGTCACGTCTGGAGGAAACCTGGCACCATCCCTACGGTGAAGCATGGTGTGTGGCAGCATCATGCTGTGGGGATGTTTTTCAGCGGCAGGGACTGGGAGACTAGTCAGGATCGAGGCAAAGATGAACGGAGCAAAGTACAGAGAGATCCTTGATGAAAACCTGCTCCAGAGCGCAGTCAATACGAATAGAACTAATGACCAGAGAATGCCGTTAATTGCACTTGACAACCAGTGTTAGTGAAAGTAACATCACGTTTTGTTGAAAAATTGATGGTTTGGGAAAGAATCTTGTTTTTTCATGTTGGTAACCCATTGAATAAAAGCAATAATACACTCGAGTGGCTATGACCACTTACAGTGAGGGGAAAAAAGTATTTGATCCCCTGCTGATTTTGTACATTTGCCCACTGACAAATGGTAGGTTTATTTGAACAGTGAGAGACAGAATAACAACAGAAAAATCCAGAAAAACGCATGTCAAAAATGCATTTTAATGAGGGAAATAAGTATTTGACCCCCTCTCAATCAGAAAGATTTCTGGCTCCCAGGTGTCTTTTATACAGGTAACGAGCTCAGATTAGGAGCACACTCTTAAAGGGAGTGCTCCTAATCTCAGTTTGTTACCTTAATAAAAGACACCTGTCCACAGAAGCAATCAATCAATCAGATTCCAAACTCTCCACCATGGCCAAGACCAAAGAGCTCTCCAAGGATGTCAGGGACAAGATTGTAGACCTACACAAGGCTGGAATGGGCTACAAGACCATCGCCAAGCAGCTTGGTGAGAAGGTGACAACAGTTGGTGCGATTATTCGCAAATGGAAGAAACACAAAATAACTGTCAATCTCCCTTGGCCTGGGGCTCCATGCAAGATCTCACCTCGTGGAGTTGCAATGATCATGAGAACGGTGAGAAATCAGCCCAGAACTACACGGGAGGATCTTGTCAATGATTTCAAGGCAGCTGGGACCATAGTCACCAAGAAAACAATTGGTAACACACTACGCCGTGAAGGACTGAAATCCTGCAGCGCCCGCAAGGTCCCCCTGCTCAAGAAAGCACATATACATGGCTGTCTGAAGTTTGCCAATGAACATCTGAATGATTCAGAGGAGAACTGGGTGAAAGTGTTGTGGTCAGATGAGACCAAAATCGAGCTCTTTGGCATCAACTCAACTCGCCGTGAGACTGCCAAGAGAGGGCCGCCCACCAAAACTCACGGACCAGGCAAGCAGGGCATTAATCAGAGAGTCAACAAAGAGACCAAAGATAACCCTGAAGGAGCTGCAAAGCTCCAAAGCAGAGATTTTGAGTATCTGTCCATAGGACCACTTTAAGCCGTACACTCCACAGAGTTGGGCTTTACGGAAGCCATTGCTTAAAGAAAAACATAAGCAAACACGTTTGGTGTTCGCCTAAAGGCACGAGGGAGACTCCCCAAACATATGGAAGAAGGTACTCTGGTCAGATGAGACTAAAATTGAGCGTTTTGGCAATCAAGGAAAACGCTATGTCTGGCGCAAACCCAACACCTCTCATCACTCTGAGAACACCATCCCCACAGTCTAGCATGGTGGTGGCAGCATCATGGTGTGGGGATGTTTTTCATCGGCAGGGACTGGGAAACTGGTCAGAATTGAAGGAATGATGGATGGCGCTAAATACAGGGAAATTCTTGAGGGAAACCTGTTTCAGTCTTCCAGAGATTTGAGACTGGGACGGAGGTCCACCTTCCAGCAGGACAATGACCCTAAGCATACTCCTAAAGCAACACTCGGGTGGTTTAAGGGGAAACATTTAAATATCTTGGAATTGCGTAGTCAAAGCCCAGACCTCAATCCAATTGAGAATCTGTGGTATGAGTTAAAGATTGCTGTATACCGACAGAACCCATCCAACTTGAAGGAGCTGGAGCAGTTTTGCCTTGAAAAATGGGTAAAAATCCCAGTGGCTTTATGTGCCAAGCTTATAGATACATACCCCAAGAGACTTGCAGGCTCTACAACGTATTTACTTTGGGGGGGTGAATAGTTATGCACGCTCAAGTTTTCTGTTTTTTTTGTCTTATTTCTTGTTTGTTTCACAATGAAAAATATGTTGCATCTTCAAGGTGGTGGGCATGTTGTGTAAATCAAATGATACAAACCTAAAACAAAATCCATTTTAATTCCAGGTTGTAAGGCAACAAAATAGGAAAAATGCCATGGGGGGTGAATACTTTCGCAAGCCACTGTATATATTGGAAAGGAGCATCAAGCTCATCTTCTTGCACTTTCACCACCCTGTGAAGTTCATTATAACTTATTTCATCTGTAGCCTAATTAACTGCATGCTTTCCCGACGAGTCGTAGTGGGATGACCACTCATGTCATCGCGTGACTCCAAGTTTACTTCGATATGATGGTTATTATATCAATAATTGCGCATAAAAGCATTTCCACTGAAATGTCTTGCATAATTAATTTTACAGACACAAAAAGATCCCACCTTGTCTAGCTTATTTTATTTTGTCGACATTTATAAAGTTTATCGACAAATTTTCTGTTTCCATCATGCCTGTCATGACATAATTTTTTATCCGGCATGTACTTTACTCGCAAAAAAAGGTTGGATGGAAACCTGGTTAGTGACTTTCTTTGAACAGGGGGAAAAAACATCACCAAATTCACGGAGAATACATTACATAGGATGAAGAAACAATATTCCAAGCCACAGCTCCATACTACTTGTCAGACATGGAGAACTGATACTGTATACTCGTTGTTGGGGTGGGATTGGTGTGGGGGTTCCGTGGGTGGCTTTTGACTATTTCTTTGGATTCCTCATGTCTTACTCTCTAGCCTAATTTCCATCCACAGCTGTGATGGAAGCAGGAAGTTTCGGTACAATTTTATAAATGGCAACAGATTATTTGTCCGTTCGACATGGTGGGATCTTTTTGTGTCTGTAAAATGTATTAACCTACCCCCACAGCCTACCAGAGTAGGCAGATTAGCTTTGTTTTATATATATTTTTTATGATATCCAATTGGTAGTTACAGTCTTGTCCCATCGCTGCAACTCCCATTCAGACTCGGGAGAGGCGAAGGTCGAGAGCCATGCATCCTCCGAAACACGACCCTGCCAAGCCGCACTGCTTCTTGACACACTGCTCACTTAACCCGGAAGCCAGCCGTACCAATGTATCGGAGGAAACGCCGTACAACTGGCGACCGTGTCAGCTTGCATGCTCCCGGCCCGCCACAGGAGTCACTAGAGCACGATGGGACAAGGACATCCCAGCCGGCCAAATCCTCCCCCTAACCCGGACGATGCTGGGCCAATTGTGCGTCGCCTCATGGGTCTCCCGGTCGCGGCCGGCTGCGACACAGCCCCGGATCGAACCCGGTTCTGTAATGACGCTTCAAGCACGGCAATGCCTTAGACCGGCACATTTGCTTTTTAACTCAACAGTTTTTGTGACAAAACTATCGGGATAATTGAAAATGCGATGGAAACACATTGAACTTTCGATTTTTATTCGGTACATGAAAATGTAAGCGAAAAAGTACATTTTGTGTGCACTATGTCATCACATACAGATTTTTATCCGCAACAAGTACGTTTGGTGGAAACACACCATTGATGGGGAAATGCGCATATTTCCTTTATGCTGATTTTAGAATATTCGCATGAAAATCTGTCGCCAATTGGATAGAAACGTAGAAATGTTTAGAAAAAAGTTTGGTCCAAATCAGATGTTAGGTACTACTATATTTATTTAATAGTATTTGAATCCTATAAATTAAAATAGCCAATTTGGGTAATTTCTCAGATCAAATTATATTTCAACAAAATAATGTTGCAGGAATGCTAATCTTATCTGTTTTCTAACTACAGAAATGATATCAGAACAATCTGAGATGGTGGGTGTCATGGCATGCTGAAATGACATGGAACAACCCTACTATGAATTCTCATTGTAGCCAATTCAGTTGCAGTCATTGTTACAGATTCTTTGGTCGATTTGGTAACATAATGACACGTTTTAATCACTTAATAAATCATAAACCAAATTCTTCTCAGTTAAAACATTTTATACAACAGGTGGTTTGAAATTCCCATTGTTAGTCTATCCTGCCCATGATATACTAGACAACATACACATGGGCACATTATAAAAAGTGCCGTTGCCTAGCAACACAGTACTATTACTTTTACAGATCCACTGTCTCATCTGCTCAGTCATGCAATGTATAAACTTGATCTCTACTGTAAAAAGCATCTAGACATTATCTCTGACATTTGCAACATTGTTGCAATAAAGACAGGCAGATTTTCTCAGCCAGTCGATATCATGATTCAGCATTATTTGTATGGATACACAAAGAAATGTCAATAGATAAACAAGTAAAACGAAACGCAGCTAGTTTGCAGTCTTTCAAGCCTCAGTCTGAAGTGATTGTGTTAGCTGTGTTGGCTAGCTAGCGAGGGAAGAGCCTCCATAGCAACCATTTTTGTTTGCCATAGCAACCTGCAAAGTTCTGGAACTATCAACCCGCACTTGGGTAGTTTCGCGTTACATAGCAGTCATTACGAATATAACTAATGACCAGAGAATGCCGTTAATTGCACTTGACAACCAGTGATAGTGAAAGTAACATCACGTTTTGTTGAAAAATTGATGGTTTGGGAAAGAATCTTGTTTTTTCATGCAGGTATGAATAAAATCAAAAATACACTCGAGAGGCTATGACCACTTAACAGCCATGATAAAAATGTCATAACACATGGCCTCATGTATTATTGCTTAAATAACTAATTGGTAGGTGTACCTTTTTTACTTTTTACATCTGAACTTTCATTATCATCCCTCATGAGGGAGGGAAATTAGAAAATGTCTTAAAGATGTGGGTTTTTGGTAACAGAATGACGACACTAGGCAATATTTTTTTAACTTACAGAAGGCAGATCATTTTGCAAAACTAAATATAAATGTTGATATTAGTTGGCAGGGGTCTTCAACATTATTGTGCTTTTTCTGCTAGATGTTTTCTAAGACCCATTTTCCATCTGTTTGACCAGAAATCAAAGCCTTTGCTTATTCAACATTTTTCGGATGGAAAATGGTTGAAAAATGTATACATGCCTTAATTTCTCAGAAATGTAGACTCTTGGCTTTCATTTGACACCAAATTTGCCGCTATGAGCTTCACATGCTACCGCTCATGGAGCTTTTTATATGGGAATGCCCTTATGTAATGTGAGATGTAGCCAAATTGATCACTGGAAGGGACACATTGCACTAAAAAGTGTCTCTGTTTGAAGGGCATTTTTCCTTTCTGCTGATATAGCAGTTGTGCTAAGCGTACTATTAGGTACCATTTCCCTACATGCTGAGAGATTTGTTACTCTGCCTGTTGACAGTCATTAAAAGGTGAGTTTGTAACGTTTCTTTGTGGTTCAGGTATGAAAAGGGAACTCCAAACCCTTAGGGAAGAGATCAAAACAATGGCAATGCGGATCCAGAAGAAACTGAACAGTGAGTATTCTAAGCTGAAACGATATGACGAGCTACTGACTAATGACCACTGGTGATTCGGTGCCCCCAGTGGATACACCTGAATATAGAAATATCCAACCCATTGTTATTTTTAATTTTTTACAGCCATTGAACCCAAAAAAGGAGATGATGATGGCAAATACGTCCCCATAAACCTAAGGATGCAGAGAGCACAAGTGAAGCTTCTATTTAATTAATAAAGTATTGATTGTAATCCAATATACAATAGGCTGATTTTAATGTAACACTTTTTCCATCCCTCTGCCTCCTCTCTCTAGCATGGCGTCTTGTCTCGGGAGTTTGTGGAGTTGATGGGCCACTGTAACACCATCCAGGCTTCCTACAGAGATCGCAACGTGGAGAGGATACAGAGGCAGCTCAGAATCAGTAAGTATGAACGTTATCTGTTACTGTTATGATACAGCTCATCCGAAAGTGATTTCAACACCATGGATTTTTGTCTTTTGAATTCAAGACTACAATGTAGAAGTTCATCTACAAAGGTGATTTCATGTGAAAATGAAATATACCCAAAAGCAGCGACTGTTATTGTATCCCTCCAGCTGGCACCAATGTTACAGATGAGGAGTTGGATGTTATGCTTGAAAGTGGACAGACTGATGTTTTCACACAGAATGTGAGTATGACTGACCTGACTTAAACTAACCACAATTGATTCATGCTGAAACCACCTGCTGGCAATCCAGCAACATTATTCTGTTCCTCTTATTGTTCTCTGTCAGCTATGACTTTTCAGGCTCTGTGTTTTGCTGATACAGCAGAATGACAAAAAAACGTATTGAAATGGCATTGTCTAGTTAAGCTCTTTTTAGTGTGGTTTGGGACAAAGACATGCTTATTCAGTGCCTTCAGAAAGTATTCAACCCCCTTGACTTTTTCCACGTTACAGCTTGAATTTAAAATGGATTAAATTGAGATTTTGTATCACTGATATACACACAATACCCCATAATGCCAGTGGAATTTTGTTTTTAGAAATGTTTATGAATTAATTACAAATGAAAAACTGAAACTTCTTAAGTCAATAAGTAAGTATTCAATCCCTTTGTTAGCCTAAATAAGTTCAGGAGAAAATGTGCTTAACAAGTCACAAGTTGCATGGACTTTTGAATGACTACACCATCTCTGTACCCTACACACACAGTTATCTGTAAGGTCCCTCAGTCAAATCAAATGTCATTTGTCACATACACATGTTTAGCAGATGTTATAGCGGATGTAGCGAAATGCTTGTGCTTCTAGCTCCGACAGTGCAGTAATATCTAACAATTTCACAACATATACCCAATACACACAAAACTAGTAAGGAATGGAATATAAGAATATATACATATATGGACAAGCAAGGGGGTTGAATATTTTCTGAAGGCGCTCTTGGAGTAAAATGATGACAGATTTGTTTTGTTTAAGGCACTCTTGTTTGCTTGCATTGGACTACAGGTTTGGATTTGGTAAGCACTCATTGTCTGTGTCTGGGGACATTCTTAGAAATCTGTATAGTCGCCATAGTTGTGAAAGAGAACCCCGTAGATGGAACCATTTGGCCACCCCTGCTTTAGAAGAATGGGACTACTTTAGCTGTTTCAGTTCAAGCATAGTTGATGTTCTCTTGACTGGATGTGTTAAGTTTAATGAGCAGTTAAATAGACACTTGTTATATCATTTCTCAGACACAACCTGATTGTAACATTTACTCTCTTCCTCCTGTAGATCCTGATCGATGCTAAAGCCACTAAGCAGGCGCTGAATGAGATTGAGTCCCGGCATGATGAGATCCTTAAACTGGAAAGGAGCATTAGGGACCTGCATGAAATGTTCCAGTACCTGGCCATGGAGGTGGAGTCTCAGGTAAGACTGTCAAAGGTTTAAAAGCTTTGGATTGGTTGCAAGCATAGGTATAATGAATTTTCCATTATATTTCCCACACCAGTACAAGTGCACACACTTTGGGGAGAAAGGAGAGATGGGCTTTGGAGACTTGTTACTGAGAAAGTTGGTTGGGAAAAACCTTAGTGAAGTGTTTTGCTGTAATGACAAACTGTTGTTCTGTTATGCAGGGGGAGATGGTAAACCGTATTGAAGCCAACATCATCAACTCAACTAACTATGTTGAAAAGGCAGTGGCAGACACTGCGAAAGCTGCCACCTACCAAAACAAAGCACGCAAGGTAGGAATTAATTTTAAGGTTGTTGTGCAAATTATTGGACAGGTTAGCTAATGAACATTGATACTTGATACTACCTTTCTATCGCTCTCTTCCTCTACAGAAGAAGATATGGATCGCATTATGCTGCGCCATTCTCCTCCTCATTTTAGCCATCTCATTGGCTGTCAGCTTCTCCTGAGATCCTGATGTGAGTTCACTCTTGACGTACATGTAGTTAGCAAAAATTGCCATATTTCATATGAATATCATATCAACATTAATTTACTGCAAATACAAAACTATGAACTATTTGTTGATTAGGTCAATGTATTCAATCAATTTATTTTGTACCTTTTTGCATACATACTTTTTTGTAATTCTTCCTTGCAGTGTCATCTTCCTCTAATCCACTTCTCCTGCCCTCGGACCTTGAAAAGAAGAGAAGTCCTGTCTTATTGATATCACTGACCTTTTAACTATCGATACCCTCGCACAGACAGGCAGACTACAGTAGGCAACCAACCATAGCCTCTCATGCTCACGTTAACTGTCCCTTTCAGCAAAAGGCACTGCTGAAGTTTTTTGGCTCTCTCTGTGGCGCCCTTTTCTTCAATGGCACCCTAAATGAAAATGTGTGGACAACTTGTTACTTACTCAACTTGCTGGACCCCTACGTGTCCGCAAGGAAGAATGCAGTATTGGAACCGACACTGACAAGGTACTGATGATCAGATTTGCTCAGGAAAACCCATAGCTAAATTGATTCTTATTGTATGTCTTTATTTTATAAAGCAAAAGAAAACATTTTAAGCGCATAGGGCTTGTTTTTAAATATATTTTAGATATAGAATAATATAATTGTATATCGCCAATATTATTTGGTGAGTAATTAAGACGTGCAGTTATCAAACTAGAAAGGTGTCTTAAACGGCTTCCATGTTACCCTTGTATATAGAGAAGATCTTTTAAAAATAATTATTGGCACTTTACATTTCTCTCCCATTAAGAGAATGTTGTCTAAGCACTGCAATGAATGGCCCATTACCCCCATGTTGTTCTAGTCACTTCAGTATTTATTTATAGTTTTAATATTGTGGAAGCTGCTATGTTTAGTCTCGCCACAGCAATAGGAACCCTTATAGTTATGGTGCCTTTTTTCCTAGTTAACGTTTATCTTGTATGTGTTTGCGGACATCTAAGGGCTCTATCTGAGATCATGGTGTAGTGCACTACCTTGTTTTATTTTTTTAAAGAAGGGATGGAATCTGTGCTGTAATTATTCAATGCTCTTCTGCTTAAAGAACTCATTAACCATTTTATATCAGATTTTTTTTCAAACCGTAAAGATATCAGCCATGGTACTTTACCCTAGCCTTAATTCTCTGTGCTGATCAGCTCCTCCCTATGAAGTGACTAGAGGTGCTAAAACTTGTACAGTATTTGCGAAGGAGAAACAGGATGAATGAGGAGAGCAGTGGAGTACATTGTGGCTGTTGAATTTTGTATCAAACTTTCAGCATGGTTTTTAAAATGTATAATGGTTTTAAAAATAAAAACGTAAAATGGGTTTAACTGTTGCACAGATGAACGTTTGCCGAGCATGGTTTGCGTCCATGCCTCTTTTCTGCTACTGCTGCATGTTCTCTGAGGGAAACAGTCCTCAAATATCTCAGGAGGGACATCTTGCGCATTTAAATGTAACATTTTCTACTACTGTATATGTTCTCAATAGCCATCAGATCGATGTACTAAAGACATGGCTACATAAGCAAATCCCTGACAGGCAGAGATTTATGGTATGCTGAACAAAAATATAAAAGCAACATGTAAAGTGTTGGTCCCATGTTTCATGAGCTGAAATAAAAAAACATCCCAGAAATTTTCCATATGCACAAAATGCTTATTTCTCTCAAATTGTGCACAAATGTGTTTACATCCCTGTTAGTGAGCATTTCTCCTTTGCCAAGATAATCCATCCACCTGACAGGTGTGCATAATGAAGAAGCTAATTAAACAGCATGATCATTACATTTTACATTTACATTTTAGTCATTTTAGCAGACGCTCTTATCCAGAGCGACTTACAGTTAGTGAATACATATATTTTTTTTATACTGGCCCCCCGTGGGAATCGAACCCACAACCCTGGCGTTGCAAACACCATGCTCTATCAACTGAGCTACATCCCTGCCGGCCATTCCCTCCCCTACCCTGGACGACGCTGGGCCAATTGTGCGCCGCCCATGAGTCTCCCGGTCGCGGCCGGCTGCGACAGAGCCTGGATTCGAACCAGGATCTCTAGTGGCACAGTTAGCACTGCGATGCAGTGCCTTGCGCCACTCAGGAGTTCATACACAGGTCCACCTTGTCCCGGGGCCATTAAAAGGTCACAACACAATGCCACAGATGTCTCTAGTTTTGAGGGAGCGTGCAATTGTCATGCTGACTGCAGGAATGTCCACCAGAGCATTGAATGTTCACTTCTCTACCCTAAGCTGCCTCAAACGTTGTTTTGTGAGAATTTGGCAGTACGTCCAACTGGCCTCACAACCGTAGACCACGTGTAACCACGCCAGCCCAGGACCGGCACATCCTGCTTCTTCACCTGGGGGGGGGGGAAGCCCTTGTGTGGAGAAAACTCATTCAACCACCCGTGGCTGCACCCCTGCCCAGTCATGTGAAATCCATAAATTAGGGCCTAATGAATTTATTTCAATTGACTGATTTCCTTTGCAGGTTGTTTATTTTTGTTCAGTATACATTTGCCCCATATGCCTACATTCCAACCAGCAATATACATTTCATGAATCCTGCATGGCACCTACTGAGATGTGTGCCATGCACAAACACATTTACACTTTAGTCATTTAGCAGATGCTGTTTTCCATGAATTAATCAGTGGATTAAATTAAGGTAAGCAAGACATCCAAACACCCAATCATTTTTTGGTCTTTTTATTCAACTCATTGTCTTTTAATCTTTCAAGTAAAATGATGTGGAATTACAAGGAAACAGAGGAATGTAACAAATGAAAGACATCAAGATAATAAAATAAGACCATATTCCACCCACCCATTCACTCAAACAGCACCCTGCCCAAAAATAGCTTAAAGTAAATTGACAATATATAGAGCCATCTGGAACTGTACCAGTGTTTTATTCACATGTTTTGTCCAAGTACTTACATGAAAGAGGAGCAATGAAGAAATGACGACAGTAAAAAAGAATGATATAGAATTTGGTAGCACTGATGCATAGGGTGCTTCACTTGTGATTTACAGAAAGTTTTTTTTTTTTTTTTTTTTTTTTTTTTTTTTAACTCGGTAAGTTCCACACCCCAACGTCATGTACTTTACAAGGCAAACTGGGATCTCCGTCCACCAGCTCGGCCTAATAGGCACTAATTATTTTATTCACATGGATTCAATACCCTTTTAGTATAAACTTCATGACGTTGACCATAATGTCTGACTGACTTTGGAAAGGTGAGGAGAATTAAATAAGGTTCTGCTCCTGTTTCTGCATTGCCAGTAAGCAATAAGTACTATCTTCAAGATACATAAGCTCAAGAGAGACAGACATATTTAGAGCTTGAGAGATGCATTGTGTGAGGTACCAGGAACATAGTAGTATTTTGATTGAAATGTATGCACACAAAAAAAAATACTACACAAAGATGCACTCAAATTAAGCTGAGGACAACATGTCTGATGTGCAAATGAAAAATGCAGGCTGGATTTAAAAAGATGGGCAGAAAATTACAAGATAGGGAGGCCCAAGCAAAGACTAACTCCAGCAAAGATCACATTTACTGATCTGCTCTCTTCCTAATTCCCTGGAAGAAACCATAAAATATCCATAATTTATCAACCGACTAGAACCAAACAGAAGGAGCTGACAAAATGTCCAGAACCCAACTGTCTAAAACCTTCAACTTACGATACAACTGTCACTCAAAAGCTTATTTTGATTCGATAACCCTGGCAGCGAATAAACTCTATATATAGGGCACAATTTAAACCTCTCTCGGACACATCCATCTCTTAGTATTCCAGTCTTTTGAAATGTTTTACAGTACATAGTGTGAACTAACAATTTACTCACTCGCACCAAAGACCCCGGTGTGCAGTCAAGCCACTGTCCGTATGAATTGACACCTCTGGAATGGCACTACCATGGTGCCACATTTCTCTCTGCAAACAGTCTGGCATCCCTGAGCCTTTCCCCAGTGGATGATGGCTGAACTGGAGAGACCAGCTTTAATGTGGGGTGGGGCGAGAGGGCCCAAGAGGGAGAGAGGTCTGACCTGCACAACACTCATAGTTCTGCTCTGGTCTCTGTCAGTGTAGACAAAGCAGCAGCTTTAGAGGTCATTTCCCCTCTTACCACCTACCCCTCTATTATTCCACTCAGAAACCCTCACTCCTTCTCGCTGCTTTTTTTTTGTATCTCTAGTCCTCCCATCATGTCTTGTTGTGTTGGGCAGAGGAGGAGCGGGTGTTAGCGGCCGGTGTGCGGGCCTGAGCCGCTGCCATAGCCGCCACGCTGCGCAGCACCCTGTCCGGGGTGCCCTCTCCCGAGCCGGCGTTCCCTTCCTGGGAGAGCCTCTCCCGCTTCTGGGCGTGCCTCTCCTTTCTTTCCTTCCGGGTCTCCCTCCCCCGGCCCTCTCCTTCCTTCCTGTGGCTGCGCCTCCTGCCCCTCTCGGTGCTGCGTTCACGTTCGCTGCCGGAGGAGGGTGCTCGTGAGAGGTTGCGCCTGGGCCCGGTGCTCTGGGAGCTGAGGCTATTGCTGCTGCTCTGGCTGCTACCGCCACCATCGCTACTCGTGCTGCTGCATGCACTGTGGCCCCTGGACGAGCGCGTCTCCCGCTCACCCTCCTCCTTTCCCTCTGAGGGCTTCTTCTTTTCCTTCTCCTTCTTTTTGCTCCCCCTCTTGTTGTTCGTCTCCAGGGCTGGGACGAGGGCACCAGGGCACTGGCGGGTGGAGCGTGCGGCGGTGTGGCTTGACTGGGTGGGGGTTGTGGTCTTGCTGCTTCCTACTTTGTTGATGCAGTTGGTTTGCGGAGTGGCTGGTGCACTTTTAGATTTGGACTTCTGGTTCTTGTCAGAGGAAGCAGGAGAAGTGGCATTCTGCCCACTAGTCTTAGCCGCAGGGTCTTTCCTGCTGCCAGGGGTGTCGATCCTGCCTCGCATGGCAAGGAGTTTGGCTGCAGCATTCAGGGCGGAACACCTCTTCCCTAGGACCTCTGGATGGGTAGGGCTAGAGGGCACACTGTTGGGCTGGGGTTCTCTCTCTGGGGTGGGCTGAGGAACAGACGATTTCCGGGTGACTCTCACAGAGGATGTCTGGCTGCCAGACTCCCCAGTACTGGTGTTGTTGGACACAGTCCTGCCCACACGTTCAGAGCTCCTGGCGGGTCTTCCAATCCGCCCGTTGCTCTCTCCATCCCCCTCGGTCTCCTGTCGGCTCTGGGCTGAGCGGGTGAGGAGGCGCTCCTTCCTGGTTTCAGAGGTGTCAGAGTCTGAAGAGGAGGACCTGGACTGCTTCCTCTGTGTAGTGTTGGTGAAATCTTCCTCTGTCTTCACCTCTCCCTTTTCTGGGTCAGAGCAAACCTCCCCTCGCATCCTCTTGGCATGTGCCCTCTTCTCTGCACCCTTCTTGTGTTGGGCTGACCGTGTGGGGGTGGATGTGGAACACACAGAGGAGGGAGAGGAGGAGCGCACAGACTCCTGACTGCTCTGGCGACTGAGAGGCCTCTTCTTGCTGGCGGCTCTGTCATCTCCGACGCTCTCCTCTACCTTCTGTTTATCCGTTTCTTCTGGCCGAGGAGCCACTGGGGCCTCTGGGTCAGCAAGCGAGGGAGTGGGAGAGACAGTGTCTTTGGCTTCATGAGAATTCTCCACTTTCCTATTTTTCAGTTGAGAGTCACTAATCTCTTTAGTCTTTTTGTCCTCTTTAGCCTCCTGGGTGTCTACCTCCATGTCTGTTATCTTCTCTGAATCTCTGTTATGGGCAGTCTCCACTGGAGCAGGCTCCAAAGCCTGGTTCTCAGTGGCAGCCACAGCAGTAGAGATGCTGGATGTAATAGGAATTTGGGCCAGGGGGAGTACTTGTGTTGAACTTGGAGTGGGGATTGGGGGGGATATCTGTGTGTGGATTTTGGTGGTGGTGGAGTTGGGTACTTGGGAAGGGGTGGAGGTTGGTGTTGTGGTAGTAGCTGCAGCAACAGTGGTGACAGTTCTGGTTGGGGCTGCTGTGGGGATGGTGTTGGGAATTGGAGCAGAGGTTGTGTTGATCGTGGTAGGGACTGGTGTGTGGGTTGGTTTGACGGTTGTGACAGTTGTGGTAGGGTCTGGTGTAGCAGTTGATGTGATGGTTGGTGTAGGGCCTGGTGTGGGGGTAGTGGTGGTGATTTTGGTAGAAGTTGGTATGGAGGTTGTGGCAGGAGATGCTGTGATGGCTGTGGTTGGGGCTGGTGCAACGGTGGTGACAATTCTGGGTGGGGCTGGTGTGGAAATTGTGGTCAGATCGGCGATTGAGGTTGGTTTACTAAGTGTTGGTAGATGGGTTGTGACAATTGTGGTAGGGACCGGAGTAGGGGTTGGTTTGACATTTGTGACTGTTGGTGTGGGGGTGCTGGTTGGAGTAGAGGCTGAGGTGGACATTTTGGGGATTTGGGCTCGAGCTGGAGTAGGGATAGTGATTTGGGCGAGGGGAAGAGTGGAAATCTTGTTGTGGGTAGGGGTGAAGATTTGTGTGGTAGTTGTTGTGGAGATTGATGGAGAAGTGGAGACTGGCGGTGAAGTGGCGACTCTAGGTCTTGAAGTGAGGAATTGGGCCAGGGTTGAGGTGAGGACTGCGGTTGGAATTCGAATGGGACCAGAGGTTGACCTTGAGGCAGGACCAAAGGTCATCCTCGATGTGGATACTGTGTGTGAGCTTGGGGTGGAAACTGTGGGTGAACTTGCGGCAGGAACAGAGGTTGAGTTTAAGGTGGGGACTGTGGGTGAGCTTGTGGAGGGGATTGCAATTGGAACAGAGGTGGAAATGGTGGGTGAGCTTGAGACAGGGACATCGCTTGAGGTGGAGACAGAGATTGGAATTGAGGTGGGAACTTGAGTTCGGCTTGGTGCAGGAATAGCAGTTGTGGTAAGGACTTGAGCTGGGCTTGGCGCAAGGATAGCAGTTAGGGTTGTGATAGGGACCTCAGTCTTAGTGTCTGCTTTTAATGTTGCGGTGGAGTCCTCAGCTTTGGTAGACGGAGAGGCTTGGCTGGTGCAGACAGCAGAGGAGGCCACAGTTTGAGGCTTAGTGGGGGCAGACAGGGGTAGTGGCTCTGTGTCAACAGCAGCAGTGTCAGACAGGGAACCAGCTTGGCTGGTGGTGCTGGCAGTGGGGGCGTTTGAGTTCTGCACTGCACCCACAGCATCCGTTACAGTAGTCGAGTCCTTGCGGGGACGACCTCTCTTGCGTTTTGGGGAGAGGGGTGGGCTCCCCTCCTCAATTGGTGAGGTAGGGTGGGGAGGGGATACATGCTCTGGCTGGGGTTCCGCCACCCTGAGGGGAGTCTTGGGGGGTCGGCCCCTCTTTCGTTTCAACGGTGTGGTCGAGTTAGAAACATTAGTGCCTGAGGACGCATTGCCTTCTTTTCCTGGCTGAGTGTCCATTTTCCTGTGGTAGTTCCCTCCCCTCCCTCGGCCCAGCCCCTGCTCTCCTAACTGGGCCGCCACGCGAGACTCACTCTCAAGCCGCCGCCGCACTGGCAGGTTCCTCAGCACCGGCATGTCAGGGGAGTGGTAGGGTGGGGAGTAAGGGGGGTAGCTTCTGGCAGGATGGGTGTGTCTTGAAGGGGATTCTTGGTCCTCTGGGAGGTTGGTGGTCTTTGAGGAGTATTTTGAGGCAGTCCCTTTCTCTTTAGGGGTCTGGTTGATTTTGTCAGGGGTCTGGGGTGTAGCATCTCTGCTTGGCTCGTCTGAGCCTCGGCCCGACTCTGCGTGCTCCGTCTCCTCTGATGAGCCTCCTCCCGTTCCGCTGCCTCTCCTCCTCTTCCTGGGCTCCTTGTCCTCCACCACTGTAACCAGGCGACCAGGGAGCCTCCGCAGGACCTTGGCCGACGGGGAATGTTCCGGAAGGCCTAGCAGGACCTCCCCGTCGGCTGACTGGCGCTTGCGTGGCGACCGGGAGAGAGAGCACACCGAGGGGGGAGATAGGGACTTGCTGTCATAATCCCTGGCCTGGGCAGAGTATGACTGGTGGTCCACCGGACACGAGGAGACACACACTCCCTGCTCCCTCCTGGGTGACTTGGTGTCTAACTCCCCTGGTAGTGTCAGTGGTTTCTCAGCTGGAGGACTGGTGGCAGTGGAAGGCACTGAGCTGGAGTGGGACTGGGTCCGGAGAGGTGGCGCTGCCGACACGGATTTGAGGCTGGAGTCTCTAGAAGGAGAGGCCGGGGTTGTCGCTGCAGGTTTGGCAGATTCCTCGAGCCTTGCTGGGGTGGTGTGGGCCCTGGGGTGCTCTGTGCGGGCCGGGGTGGTGGTGTCTTTGGTCCCCCCTCGTCCTCTCAGAGCAGAGCGGAGTCTTTCAGGCACTTCTCTGTTGGTTGGGGTGTCGGAATCTGGCGAAGTGGGCGGTGGGGAGGCCGTGGTCCCTCGGAGCCTGCCACTGGTCCTGGTGGAGGGGGCGCCTTTCTCTTTGTGTTTGCGTGGGCGGCGGCCGGACCCGGGCGTCGAAGACTCCTCTGCTGGCTGTGATGAGAAGTCCTCTTCGTCGTTGTCTGAGGAGCCTGCTTGCAGCTTCAGGCCCTCCTCCTTTGCCTGGTCCAGCCCCTTCCTGGCAGCCTCCACCTGCTCCTGTAAACACAGAGCAGAGAGATGGGCAGTTGTTAATGCTTTTTATTTTAACTCAGGTCTCTAATAGGGTGAACCAATTAAACATGGACACACGTCAAGCTCTCCTAAATGCACTGAGAAATAGCAAACTTACCTCGGCTTGCTTTAATTCCTCCTTACACACATCCTCCAGTGAAGCCTCCAGGAAGTTCATAGCATAGCGTTCTATAGGAGTTAGCTGAGATATGGGGGAAACAGATAGGCGGTCAGATTTGCAAAAAGCTAAATGTGCTCCACATCGTCAAATAACAGATGGGATAGGCCAAAAACAGGGATATTGAGCAACAATCACCTGCTCCACAAGAGCCGCTATCTCCTGCTCAGCCTTGGAGAGCTCCTCCTCTTCCGGGTCCCTCCCTTCACCAGCCTCGTCCAATGGGATGGCCTCGTTGAACTCTGCCAGTTCAGCTACCTGCTCTGCTTTGGCTTGGGAAGCGGCCACTATGTCCTCCTCATCCTCAGCACGACACAGGGCCTGTGGCAGAGAGAAAATTACTTTATGGGAACAGTACTACCTGGAGTAAGATTGATGTTTTGCTGACTTAAATAACACAATCATTGGACCTCTAATAATCAAGTTTATTCATTATATATTTAAAGCTTATTTGTATGGAGTCAGTGCTGGTCCAAACACTGCTAGTCTCTGGGTCTCTTCCAGACTCCTGCTGCTGTTTGTTGTGGTATAAACAGGCACCTATGGTCTGAGAGACACCTGCTCTGAACACCCCAGTAAACCTCCTATACATCCTGTTATTGCTAGTGTGTTGGTTGTGACTGACCTGCTCCAGGATGGTGGTGCTCTGTTTGTTGCCCGTCTCCTCTTCCTCAGGCTGGGGCACAGAGAGCTCTACGGTCACCTCCTTCTTCTCCCCCTCCGTAACTTCAAATAGTTCCCTGATGGTTTGCTGAGAGGAGAGAGAGGAGCGTAGTTCGTTTTGAATTGCCCTCAATTCAGAGTGAATGGACGACGTCAAAGAGTTGTATCAGTGGAGACGTACCTGTTTGAAGAAAGCGGTGGTGAAGTTGCCTCCTTCGATGGCCATGTCTCCCAGCATCCTCTTCTGGTTGGCCTTCTTCAGGATGTTTTCCTCCACCGTGCGCTCACTGATCAGCCTGGAAGGGGGAAGAGTGTTCAACACATTGTCATATCTTCAGAGTCGAAGTATGTGGACTGCCATGCTGCTTCTGGAGACTTTCTGTGTAAAATCTAGAGGAAACTAAACAACTACCATAGTCCTGAGATGATGTGCCTTAGAGGGAAGTAATGTCAGATTGGTTTAACAGTCTAAGAAAGAGGCAGGGGATGGTTTCACTGTGTACCTGTAGATGTGGACGTCGCGGGTCTGTCCGATGCGGTGGCAGCGGTCCTGGGCCTGGGCGTCCATGGTGGGGTTCCAGTCACTGTCGTAGAACACCACCGTGTCGGCGCCCGTCAGGTTCACCCCCACGCCGCCGCTACGTGTGGACAGGATGAAGCAGAAGATGCGGCGGTCCGCGTTGAAGCGATCCATCAGGGACTGAGAGGGAGAGAAAGATGTATAACGGACACAGGAGAAACCAAATGTTTTTTGTTTTCAACCAACAGTCAGCATCCTTCAGCAGTTTCAGCACAGTATTGAACTCCGCGTCAATTCCATTCAACTCAAGAAACCAAAAGAGCCGTAAAATTCCTTGTCCAAAAGAATTTGAATTGAAATGGAATTGACCCCAACTAATTGAGTTGCTGAAGTCCAACACAACAGTAGAATCCCATAGAGCTCAGGAGCCACTCACCTGTCTCTGCTCGACGCGGGTGCTGCCGTCCAGGCGGAGGTAGATGTGCCCGTGGTAGCCAAGGAACTGCTCCAGCACGTCCAGCATGCGGGTCATCTGGGTGAAAATGAGCACACGGTGTTGGCCCTCCTTCAGCCGTCGCAGCAGAGTGTGGAGCGTCTGCAGCTTACCTGCACACACCACAGAGTGTTATCGTTCAAAGGCTGTATTGAGTTAAAAGCACTTTTACTTTTTTGGGGCCCCTTCTCAGACAAATGCCTCAATGTCTTCAACTGAAAGACACGATGCTCTGGGGTACTGAACCCAGAGACACAGAACCTAAGCCTGACGCAGTGAACCCAGAGACAGACTGTATCCCATTTCGACTCATCACCGTATCAATCACTGAAGTAACAGCACTTCTACTTAACACAGTGGCTTTCCGTGTCATGGTGTGTGCAAACACACAGCCAAACTGATGGAGGTGTCAGAGTTCAAATTCCTCGACGAATGCCAAGCGAAAACAAGACAAGTTTCCTAAAAGACTCTGCATGGTCAATCCGATGTCTGCAATGGCCGGACCACATTTACTGCAATGCGGCCGCCGCAGAAGTCAGAGCATTCATATATATCTTGCGATTCAGCGAGCTGTCGTACGCATCCGATAAATGTGTCTGCACCGCACCACTCGTAGTGATTCAGTTCTAACAACTTTATAATAATAATAATAATAATAATAATAATAAGCCATTTAGCAGACGCTTTTATCCAAAGCGACTTACAGTCATGCGTGCATACATTTTTTTTTTGTGTGTATGGGTGGTCCCGGGGATCGAACCCACTACCTTGGCGTTACAAGTGCCGTGCTCTACCAGCTGAGCTACAGAGAGCACATCTTTAAATGTTATGCAGCAAAAACAGTCAAATATATTGAACAAAAATAAACTCAACATGCAACAATTTCAAAGATTTTACTGAGTTACAGTTCATATAAGGAAATCAGTCATTAGGCCCTAATCTATGGATTTTACATGACTGGGCTGGGGTGCAGGCATGGGTGATCATGCTGTTTAATTAGCTTCTTGATATGCCACACCTGTCAGGTGGATGAATTATCTTGGCAAAGGAGAAAATGCTCACTCACAGGGATATAAAAACTAATTTGTGCACAAAATTTGAGAGAAATACGCTTTTTGTGCGTATGGAAAATTTCTGGGATGTTTTTTTATTTCAGCTCATGAAACATGGGACCAACACTTAACATTTAGATTTTTTCCAGTGTATATCCAAATCAGATTTTAGTAACCACAGTGTGGGCTTGTTACAATACATCAATCATCATGACAGACTTAACAAATAAACACTTTGTTAGATCAGATTTGTTGAATGTGCGTCAATCCAACGTCCTTCTACCCCACTGTCTGCATTCCATTGACCTTTTCCTGCGTCTATCCACATTATCTCCCCGATCTCTTTCCAGAAGTTCAAACTCATTTTCCTGTCTTGGAAATCTCTACACGAGGTATCATAAAGACCTTTTTTATGTTAACTTGATCTGACAGCCTTTCGTCAAAGTTCTCCATGTTTGTTGTCAAGAAAGTGAGTTTGTGTTTATACAGGATGTACCAGCCCCACCTATTGTTATAAGCTGACATATGGAATTGTTTTAAGAAGGATCATTTAGCCATTTGATTTTGAATTTTAGGACCCCTTTAGGTGTCCCCAAAAAATAGAAAACAATTATTTAATAAAATATTGAATTTTTACGCATCGAAAAACACATTCGTAAATGGCAGAAAAGACAGTAAAAAATTGTTTTCCATAAATATATATAGTACTAGTCAAAAGTTTGGACACGCCTACTCATTCAAGGGTTTTTCTTTATTTTTACTATTTTCTACATTGTAGAATAATAGTGAAGACATCAAAACTATGAAATAACACATATGGAATCATGTAGTAATCCACAAAGTGTTAACAAATCAAAATATATTTTATATTTAAGATTCTTCAAATATGACAGCTTTGCACACTCTTGGCATTCTCTCAACCAGCTTCACCTGGAATGCTTTTCCAACAGTCTTGAAGGAGTTCCCACATATGCTGAGCACTTGTTGCCTGCTTTTCTTTCACTCTGCGGTCCAACTCATCCCAAACCATCTCAATTGGGTTGAGGTCGGGTGATTGTGGAGGCCAGGTCATCTGATGCAGCACTCCATCACTCTCCTTCTTGGTCAAATACCCCTTACACAGCCTGGAGGTGTGTTGGGTCATTGTCCTGTTGAAAAACAAATTATAGTCCAAACCAAATGGGATTGCGTATCGCTGCAGAATGCTGTGGTAGCCATGCTGAATAACTGTGCCTTGAATTCTAAATAAATCACTGACAGTGTCACCAGCAAAGCACCCCCACACCTCCTCCTCCTCCATGCTTCACGAGAACATCCGTTCACCTACTCTGCGTCTCACAAAGACACGGCGGTTGGAACCAAAAATCTCACATTTGGACTCATCAGACCAAAAGGACAGATTTCCACCGGTCTAATGACCATTGCTTGTGTTTCTTGGCCCAAGCAAGTCTCTTCTTCTTATTGGTGTTCTTTAGTAGTGGTTTCTTTGCAGCAATTCAACCATGAAGGTCTGATTCACACTGTCTCCTCTGAACAGTTGATGTTGAGATGTGTCTGTTATTTGAACTCTGTGAAGCATTTATTTAGGCTGCAATTTCTGAGGCTGGTAACTAAATGAACTTATCCTCTGCAGCAGAGGTAACTCTGGGTCTTCCTTTCCTGTGGCGGTCCTCATGAGAGCCAGTTTCATCATAGCGTTTGATGGTTTTTGCGACTGCACTTGAAAAACTTTCAAAGTTCTTGAAATGTTCCAGATTGACTGACCTTCATGTCTTAAAGTAATGATGGACTATCGTTTCTCTTTGCTTATTTGAGCTGGTCTTTTCATAATATGGACTTGATATTTTACTAAATAGGGCTATCTTCTGTATACCAACTCTACCTTGTCAGAACACAACTGATTGGCTCAAACGCATTAAGGAGGAAAGAAATCCCACAAATTAACTTTTAACAAGGCACACCTGTTAATTGAAATGCATTCCAGGTGACTACCTCATGAAGCTGGTTGAGAGAATGCCAAGAGTGTGCAAAGCTGTCATCAAGGCAAAGGGTGGCTACTTTGAAGAATCTCAAATATAAAATATATTTTGAATTGTTTAACACTTTTTTGGTTACTACAAGATACCATATGTGTTATTTCATAGTTTTGATGTCTTCACTATTATTCTACAATGTAGAAAATAGTAAAAATAAAGGAAAACCCTGGAATGAGTAGGTGTGTACAAACTTTTGACTGGTACTCTCTGTGTGTGTGTGTGTGTGTGTGTGTGTGTGTGTGTGTGTGTGTGTGTGTGTATTTAAAAAAAAAATGTTGGTCATTTAGCAGACACTCTTATCCAGAGCCACTTACAGTTAAGTGAATGCATACATTTTCAAACTGGCCCCCCGTGAGAAACGAACCCACAAGGCTGGCGTTGCAAGCGCCATGCTCTACCAACTGAGCTACAGGGGACTATAATATATATATATATATAGGGGGAAAAAAGTATTTAGTCAGCCACCAATTGTGCAAGTTCTCCCACTTAAAAAGATGAGAGAGGCCTGTAATTTTCATCATAGGTACACGTCAACTATGACAGACAAATTGAGAAGAATTTTTTTCTCCAGAAAATCACATTGTAGGATTTTTTATGAATTTATTTGCAAATTATGGTGGAAAATAAGTATTTGGTCACCTACAAACAAGCAAGATTTCTGGCTCTCACAGACCTGTAACTTCTTCTTTAAGAGGCTCCTCTGTCCTCCACTCGTTACCTGTATTAATGGCACCTGTTTGAACTTGTTATCAGTATAAAAGACACCTGTCCACAACCTCAAACAGTCACACTCCAAACTCCACTATGGCCAAGACCAAAGAGCTGTCAAAGGACACCAGAAACAAAATTGTAGACCTGCACCAGGCTGGGAAGACTGAATCTGCAATAGGTAAGCAGCTTGGTTTGAAGAAATCAACTGTGGGAGCAATTATTAGGAAATGGAAGACATACAAGACCACTGATAATCTCCCTCGATCTGGGGCTCCACGCAAGATCTCAGCCCGTGGGGTCAAAATGATCACAAGAACGGTGAGCAAAAATCCCAGAACCACACGGGGGGACCTAGTGAATGACCTGCAGAGAGCTGGGACCAAAGTAACAAAGCCTACCATCAGTAACACACTACGCCACCAGGGACTCAAATCCTGCAGTGGCAGACGTGTCCCCCTGCTTAAGCCAGTACATGTCCAGGCCCGTCTGAAGTTTGCTAGAGTGCATTTGGATGATCCAGAAGAGGATTGGGAGAATGTCATATGGTCAGATGAAACCAAAATATAACCTTTTGGTAAAAACTAAACTCGTCGTGTTTGGAGGACAAATAATGCTGAGTTGCATCCAAAGAACACCATACCTACTGTGAAGCATGGGGGTGGAAACATCATGCTTTGGGGCTGTTTTTCTGCAAAGGGACCAGGATGACTGATCCGTGTAAAGGAAAGAATGAATGGGGCCATGTATCGTGAGATTTTGAGTGAAAACCTCCTTCCATCAGCAAGGGCATTGAAGATGAAACGTGGCTGGGTCTTTCAGCATGACAATGATCCCAAACACACCGCCCGGGCAACGAAGGAGTGGCTTCGTAAGAAGCATTTCAAGGTCCTGGAGTGGCCTAGCCAGTCTCCAGATCTCAACCCCATAGAAAATCTTTGGAGGGAGTTGAAAGTCCGTGTTGCCCAGCGACAGCCCCAAAACATCACTGCTCTAGAGGAGATCTGCATGGAGGAATGGGCCAAAATACCAGCAACAGTGTGTGAAAACCTTGTGAAGACTTACAGAAAACGTTTGACCTGTGTCATTGCCAACAAAGGGTATATAACAAAGTATTGAGAAACTTTTGTTATTGACCAAATACTTATTTTCCACCATAATTTGCAAATAAATTCATTAAAAATCCTACAATGTGATATTCTGGAATTTTTTTCTCTCAATTTGTCTGTCATAGTTGACGTGTACCTATGATGAAAATGACAGGCCTCTCTCATCTTTTTAAGTGGGAGAACTTGCACAATTGGTGGCTGACTAAATACTTTTTTTCCCCACTGTACATATGCCACCCCCTCTTCCCCCAATCTCTCTCTCTCATAATTTTTTCCAGATCTGTGTGTGTGTGTGTATATATATATATATATATACATATACATACACACACACACACAGTGGGGAGAACAAGTATTTGATACACCGCCAATTTTGCAGGTTTTCCTACTTACAAAGCATGTAGAGGTCTGTAATTTTTATCATAGGTACACTTCAACTGTGAAAGACGGAATCTAAAACAAAAATCTAGAAAATCACATTGTATGATTTTTAAGTAATTAATTTGCATTTTATTGCATGACATAAGTATTTGATACATCAGAAAAGCAGAACTTAATATTTGGTACAGAAACCTTTGTTTGCAATTAAAGAGATCATACGTTTCCTGTAGGTCTTGACCAGGTTTGCACACACTGCAGCAGGGATTTTGGCCCACTCCTCCATACAGACCTTATCCAGATCCTTCAGGTTTTGGGGCTGTCGCTGGGCAATACGGACTTTCAGCTCCCTCCAAAGATGTTCTATTGGGTTCAGGTCTGGAGACTGGCTAGGCCACTCCAGGACTTTGAGATGCTTCTTACGGAACCACTCCTTAGTTGCCCTGGCTGTGTGTTTCGGGTCGTTGTCATGCTGGAAGACCCAGCCATGACCCATCTTCAATGCTCTTACTGAGGGAAGGAGGTTGTTGGCCAAGATCTCGCGATACATGGCCCCATCCATCCTCCCCTCAATACGGTGCAGTTGTCCTGTCCCCTTTGCAGAAAAGCATCCCCAAAGAATGATGTTTCCACCTCCATGCTTCACGATTGGGATGGTGTTCTTGGGGTTGTACTCATCCTTCTTCTTCCTCCAAACACGAGCAAGTGGAGTTTAGACCAAAAAGTTATATTTTTGTCTCATCAGACCACATGACCTTCTCCCATTCCTCCTCTGGATCATCCTGATGGTCATTGGCAAACTTCAGACGGGCCTGGACATGCGCTGGCTTGAGCAGGGGGACCTTGCGTACACTGAAGGATTTTAATCCATGACGGCGTAGTGTTTTACTAATGGTTTTCTTTGAGACTGTGGTCCCAGCTCTCTTCAGGTCATTGACCAGGTCCTGCCGTGTAGTTCTGGGCTGATCCCTCACCTTCCTCATGATCATTGATGCCCCACGAGGTGAGATCTTGCATGGAGCCCCAGACCGAGGGTGATTGACCGTCATCTTGAACTTCTTCCATTTTCTAATAATTGCGCCAACAGTTGCTGCCTTCTCACCAAGCTGCTTGCCTATTGTCCTGTAGCCCATCCCAGCCTTGTGCAGGTCTACAATTTATCCCTGATGTCTTTACACAGCTCTCTGGTCTTGGCCATTGTGGAGAGGTTGGAGTCTGTTTGATTAAGTGTGTGGACAGGTGTCTTTTATACAGGTAACGAGTTCAAACAGGTGCAGTTAATACAGGTAATGAGTGGAGAACAGGAGGGCTTCTTAAAGAAAAACTAACAGGTCTGTGAGAGCCGGAATTCTTACTGGTTGGTAGGTGATCAAATACTTATGTCATGCAATAAAATGCAAATTAATTACTTAAAAATCATACAATGTGATTTTCTGGATTTTTGTTTTAGATTCCGTCTCTCACAGTTGAAGTGTACCTATGATAAAAATTACAGACCTCTACATGCTTTGTAAGTAGGAAAACCTACAAAATCGGCAGTGTATCAAATACTTGTTCTCCCCACTGTATACACACACACACACAGTGGGGAGAACAAGTATTTGATACACTGCCGATTTTGCAGGTTTTCCTACTTACAAAGCATGTAGAGGTCTGTAATTTTTTATCATAGGTGCACTTCAACTGTGAGAGATGGAATCTAAAACAAAAATCCAGAAAATCACATTGTATGATTTTTAAGTAATTCATTTGCATTTTATTTCATGACATAAGTATTTGATACATCAGAAAAGCAGAACTTAATATTTGGTACAGAAACCTTTGTTTGCAATTACAGAGATCATACGTTTCCTGTAGGTCTTGACCAGGTTTGCACACACTGCGGCAGGGATTTTGTCCGTAAGTAGGAAAACCTGCAAAATCAGCCGTGTATCAAATACTTGTTCTCCCCACTGTGTATGTATGTATGTATGTATGTATGTATGTATGTATGTATGTATGTATGTATGTATGTATGTATGTATGTATGTATGTATGTATATACACACAGATCTGGAAAAAATTAAGAGACCACTGCAAATGTCTCTTAAAATCAGCATCTCTACATGTATGACAGCCATTCCATTCCAGTGTCTGTTGAATTCCAACACAGGCACACCTCATTCTACTGAATTAGGTACTGATTAGGTGATCACCTGAACCAAATCTTATTTAATGAGGAAAAGTATAAAAACCACTGCTGTGGTCAACACTATCCTCCTGCAATAGGACCAGCTGGATGGCAAAAGCTGTGCTAATAGTACCTCAAAAGTCATATTAATCAAAAAATAACTATTGACCATGCCAAAAGAGTTGAAAAGGAAAGTTTTGAGTGAGGAAAAGAAGGGTCCAATTCTGGCTTTACTGGCAGAGGGATACGGTGAGCGTCAGGTTGCTTCCATCCTTACATTTCAATGAGTTCAAGCAGCAGACATTGGGGACAACAAAGCTACAGACCGGCAGAGGGCGAAAACTACGCTCTACTGACCGGGATGACCGCCAACTCGGCAGCTGGGGTGAAGTGCACGGCAAGGACGGTTCGAAACAGGCTCCTAGGGGCAGGGCTGAAGTCGTGCAAAGCTAGAAAAAAGCCCTTCATCAATGACAAGCAAAGAAGAGTCAGGCTGAGGTTTGCAAAAGACCATAAGGATTGGACCGTAGAGGACTGGAGTAAGGTCATCTTCTCTGATGAGTCCAATTTTCAGCTTTGCCCAACACCTGGTCGTCTAATGGTTAGACGGAGACCTGGAGAGGCCTACAAGCCACAGTGTCTCGCACCCACTGTGAAATTTGGTGGAGGATCGGTGATGATCTGGGGGTGCTTCAGCAAGGCTGGAATCGGGCAGATTTGTTTTTGTGAAGGACGCATGAATCAAGCCATGTACAAGGTTGTCCTGGAAGAAAACTTGCTTCCTTTTGCTCTGACATTGTTCCCCAACTCTGAGGATTGGTTTTTCCAGCAGGACAATGCCACACAGCCAGGTCAATCAAGGTGTGGATGGAGGACCACCAGATCAAGACCCTGTCATGGCCAGCCCAATCTCCAGACCTGAACCCCATTGAAAACTTCTGGAAAGTGATCAAGAGGAAGATGGATGGTCACAAGCCAACAAACAAAGCCGAGCTGCATGAATTTTTGCGCAAGGAGTGGCATAAAGTCACCCAACATCAATGTGAAAGACTGGTGGAGAGCATGCCAAGACGCATGAAAGCTGTGATTGAAAATCAGGGTTATTCCACAAAATATTGATTTCTGAACCCTTCCTAAGTTAAAACATTAGTATTGTGTTGTTTAAAAATGAACATGAACTTATTTCCTTTGCATTATTCGAGGTCTGACAACACTGCATCTTTTTTGTTATTTTGACCAGTTGTCATTTTCTGCAAATAAATGCTCTAAATGACAATATTTTTATTTGGAATTTGGGAGAAATGTTGTCAGTAGTTTATAGAATAAAATAAAAATGTTATTTTTACCCAAACATACCTATAAATAGTAAAACCAGAGAAACAGATAATTTTGCAGTGGTCTCTTAATTTTTTCCAGAGCTGTATATATTTTTTGTTTGTTTTTTACACATATTGAACCCCTTTTTTGGGGTAGGCACAAAACTACCTCCACACTTCCATTCATTTACCGGTTACCTTTAGACAAGTCCCGTGACAATGGTGGGGGTCATAGAGCACAACGGAGAACACCATCGAGTTCGTGAGAATTTCCCTTTTCCATATTAGTTTGTAGCCCAAACGGTTCGGATGCTTCAAAACACAAGTTGGTGTACCGACTTCAGACGAGTACCCAGACACTTGTGGGGGGTCGTAGAGTAAAACTGAGACCACCATCGTGTTCGTGAGAGTCTCTCCTTTCCAAAGAGTGGTCATAGGCCAAACGATGTCAACACTACAGACATTTTTGTGAGAAGACCGATTTCCGGGATGTCTCATGGTCTGACAAACACCGCTCTAGCTCTGCTACCTTTCCCTGCTGATGCGGAAGTGCGACAGATATCTCTAGATCAAATTGACTGATTATTGTGTTACTTAGATTGACGCACCGGTGTGTCAATTGACTCTAGGGGGTTAAGTCCTATAGAAAACACAGGTGTGTTGTCTGAGGTGTGGGGACTCACCACAGTCATACTGGATCAGCCTCAGGTCAGGGAAGTGGGTCCTCATGTTGCACTGGATGCGGTGCAGACTGTGTGAGAGCGGGGCCACCTGGGAGGAGAGCAGCGAGGTGAACACGGCCTGCTTGTGGCTCAGAGACGGAGGGGGGTGGCAGCTGTGCATGGTGATGGTCGGAGCCTCCACCGGTGGGATCACAAACGTAAACCTGGAGGAGTAGAAAATAGGGTACCCTCCATCAATCATTAGGCATCACAAGAAAGATAAACAGAAAGTGTTTGAAAACAGACACACCGAATTCAACTAATGAAGGGCTTGGTGATTAGTTAAATCAAGTGTGTTAGTGAAGGGCTAGAACAAAAATATAGACTGTCTCGTGGTTCCAGACAGTGGAAAGCAGCAGCCAGTGTGTTACCTTTCTATCATATCTTTGAGCAGCTGCAGCCTGTCCTCAGTGGTGTGGATGGCCTCCCTCAGGGCGCGGCTCTGGTCCCAGTAGTTCATGGTGCTGTGGGACTGGGCGAACAAGCAGGCAGCATGGCCTGAGCGGCCCCACTGACCCAGGGCCCTGGGGGCCGGAGCAGGGCAGGAGCCCGGGAGGAAGGTCAGGAAGTCCAGCACCTCATGGCCGTACATGGGCTTGGCGCTGCAGTGCAGGTCATTGATCCGGATGATTTGGGTCAGGCGGCTGTCTCGCTGCTTCTTGCGGCTGTCTGCCAGCCATGACTGACGGAGAGGAAAGGGACAGTTTGTAAGTTGATAGGACAGCAACAGTTAAAGAGGCGCTCCAGAGGATTGAAAACAACCTTGTTACTTTTTTTTTTACGTCCCGTTTTGGACTAAACGTGTCAATGTATGGCTCATACATGGATAATAAACCATCTGCAGTCCTCTCCCAGCGGAGAAAGGCACAGAATCCTTCGATTTTTACTTGCCATAATTTTGTGCAATTCAGACATGCTTGTTCATGTCATGTAGTGAGCACACACTCTGAAGTGAGTGGGATTGCCTTGCTACATGCGCTTACCATTTGTTTTTTTGATAACAGCAAAAACACATTGAATACGTTGATCAAATTCATGCATAATAATAATAAAACATTTAAAATGAGATCTATTAGACCTCGGTAGTAGTTTAATTTCTCTTTCAATATGCTACGATTCTCTGGAAACCAAGCAGAAAATGATGTGCACTATAGATGGTATTATAAACTGGGTGGTTCGAGCCCTGAATGCTGATTGTCTGAAAGCCGTGGTATATCAAACCGTATACCATGGGTATGACAAAACATTTATTTTTACTGCTATAATTACGTTGGTAAACAGTTTATAATAGCAATGAGGCACCTTGGGGGTTTGTGATATATGGACAATATACCACGGCTATGGGCTGTGTCCAGGCACTCCTTGTTGCGTCGTGCGAATAACAGCCGTTAGCCGTGGTATATTGGCCATATACCACACCTCCTCGGGCCTTATTGACAATTGTCAAACTAATCAGAAACACTATGCTCACAACCTGTATCTCCTAAATGCTGTCGCTGCTGTATTTTGTTAGAATTTTTGAATATATTGCGCAAATCACATACAACTCTCAAGAAATGTATACGGCAAACTTTTACCCACGTTTTTTGCAGCAATTCCACCATGAAGGCCTGATTCACACAGTCTCCTCTGAACAGTTCATGTTGAGATGTGTGTGTTACTTGAACTGTGAAGCATTTATTTGGGCTGCAATTTCTGAGGCTGGTAACTTTATCCTCTGCAGCAGAGGTAACTCTGAGTCTTCCTTTCCTGTGGCGGTCCTCATGAGAGCCAGTTTCATCATAGCACTTGATGGTTTTTGCAAATTTACTTGAAGAAACGTTCAAAGTTCTTGAAATGTTCCGGATTGACTGACCTTCATGTCTTAAAGTAATGGACTGTCGTTTCTATTTGCTTATTTGAGCTGTTCTTGCCATAATATGGACTTGATCTTTTACCAAATAAGGCTATCTTCTGTATACCAACTCTACCTTGTCAGAACACAACTGATTGGCTCAAACGCATTAAGGAAAGAAATTCCACAAATTAACTTTTAAGAAGGCACACCTGTTCATTGAAATGCATTCCAGGTGACTGCCTCATGAAGCTGGTTGAGAGCATGCCAAGAGTGTGCAAAGCTGTCATCAAGGAAAAGGGCGGCTATTTGAAGAATCGCAAATATAAAATATATTTTGATTTGTTTAACACTTATGGTTACTACATGATTCCATAGCTCTGATGTCTTCACTATTATTGTACAAAAGTAGAAAATAGTACAACTAAAGAAAAACCCTGGAATGAGTAGGTGTGTCCAAAGTTTTGACTGACTGACACACACACACACATACATTCCCATAAAAATCCAAATAACTTAACCGATCTTCATTGTAAAGAGTTTAAACACTGTTTCCTATGCTTGTTCAATGAACCCTAAACAATGAATGAACATGCACCTGTGGAACGGTCCTTAAGACACTAACAGCTTACAGACGGTAGGCAATTAAGGTCACAGTTATGAAAACTTAGGACACTAAAAGAGGCCTTTCTACTGACTCTGAAAAACACCAAAAGAAAGATGCCCAGGGTCCCTGCTCATCAGTGTGAACGTGCCTTAGGCATGCTGCAAGGAGGCATGAGGACTGCAGATGTGGCCAGGGCAATAAATTGCAATGTCCGTACTGTGAGACGCCTAAGACAGCGCTACAGGGAGACAGGACAGACAGCTGATTGTCCTCACAGTGGCAGACCACGTGTAACAACACCTGCACAGGATCGGTACATCCAAACATCACACCTGCGGGACTGGTACAGGATGGCTACAACAACTGCCCGAGTTACACCAGGAACGCAAAATCCCTCCATCAGTGCTCAGACTGTCCGCAATAGGCTGAGAGAGGCTAGACTGAGGGCTTGTAGGCCTGTTTTAAGGCAGGTCCTCACCAGACATCACCGGCAACAACGTCGCCTATGGGCACAAACCCACCGTCTCTGGACCAGACAGGACTGGCAAAAAGTGCTCTTCACTGACGAGTCGCGGTTTTGTCTCACCAGGGGTGATGGTGGGATTCACGTTTATAGTCGAAGGAATGAGGGTTACACCGAGGCCTGTACTCTGGAGCGGGATCGATTTGGAGGTGGAGGGTCCGTCATGGTCTGGGGCGGTGTGTCACAGCATCATCGGACTGAGCTTGATGTCATTGCAGGCAATCTCAACGCTGTGCGTTACAGGGAAGACATCCTCCTCCCTCATGTGGTACCCTTCCTGCAGGCTCATTCTGACATGACCCTCCAGCATGACAATGCCAACAGCCATACTGCTCGTTCTGTGCGTGATTTCCTGCAAGACAGGAATGTCAGTGTTCTGCCATGGCCAGCGAAGAGCCCGGATCTCAATCCCATTGAGCACGTCTGGGACCTGTTGAATCGGAGGGTGAGGGCTAGAGCCATTCCCCCCAGAAATGTCCGGGAACTTGCAGGTGCCTTGGTGGAAGTGTGGGGTAACATCTCACAGCAAGAACTGGCAAATTTGGTGCAGTCCATGAGGAGGAGATGCACTGCAGTACTTAATGCAGCTGGTGGCCACACCAGATACTGACTGTTACTTTTGATTTTGACCCCCCCTTTGTTCAGGGACACTTATTCCATTTATTTTAGTCACATGTCTGTGGAACTTGTTGAGTTTATGTCTCAGTTGTTGAATCTTGTTATGTTCATACAAATATTTACACATGATAAGTTTGCTGAAAAATACGTTTCTTTTTTTGCTGCGATATATATCTTTGTGCACTGCTGCAGGGGCTCAACAGCAATTACGTGATGACGTAGTACACAACTTCCTATTTGGCTCTTGGGCGCGGCTTTCAGAACTACTGCCAAAAAATATACAAAAGTTATGAAGTCTCTTTAAAGGAACATGACAGGAGTCAGTTTAAGAATTCTGCTGTGGATTGATGACTGACAGAACTAAAAAAGGTACTACTGTGGGATATACGCTAAAAAAATATGACAACCTCATTATTTCCTACATGGTGATTGAAACAAGTAACAAGAAAAAAAATATATGTTTTAAAAGAAGCAGATATAGTGGAAGTACCATGTAGAAGGGGGAGCGAGGATGTGGGCGAGGTTGTGCCCGAGGTCGAGGGGGGACAAATCCACCAACATGGGACCCTGATTTAGGAACGGCTGATTTAGTGTCGCTGCTCTCCTCACGCGTCGACAAAGAATTCAGACGAGCTAGAGAGGAGAAGTGACTTGTTCAATACAAAGATTGTAAATACAGAAACTGTTTTTAAATTATTTGCATTCATCTCCTCACCTTTCTGTTCTGTGCTGGTTTCTACCTTGGTTTCAATCTTCAGCACTGGGTGAGGGGGCTGGGGCTGACTGGGGTCTGGGGTAGGGATTTGAGGGGGGGCAGGAGTAGGGGTTCGAGGAGGGGCTGGTGTAAGGATTTGAGGGGGGGCTGTGGTAGGGGTTCGAGGAGGGGCTGGTGTAGGAATACGAGGAGGGGCTTGGGTAGCGGTTCTAATTGTGACTGACGTAGGGGTTCTAGGTGGGGCCAGGGTGTATTGAGCAGTGGAAGGTCCGGGGTGGCGATGTGCAGGGGGGGTTCTCACAGCAATGTTGGCATTGGCATGGTGGTGTATGGAGGGTGATGCCTGGGTAGCTACGCGGGGAGAAGGGGGCACTGCCAGGGTGGGTACACCCCCTCCTTCCTTGCTTGACTGGCGTACCACTATCTTCACGATCCCAGAGCTGGTCACCATGGAGGAGGGCACTGGAGAGGAAAGACGGGTAAGAACATGACCATCACTGAACCGCCTTAACAACAAGTCCAGGGTAAAAGACAGCTAACCAGAGAAGATCAGATCAGTTACCACAGACTTGAAGGAGGATGCTGCTGTACCTTGAGAAGCGTTGAGAGGCAGCTGGATTTCCGAGGGTGCTGGAGAGGGGGTGGCAGAACTGAACACTGCTACCTGGGCTGGCTGGCTGATGAGGTGGTGCTGCCCTCCGCTGGTCACCAGATGCATGAAGTTACCTGCGGAGCCCACAGTTAGAACCACACCAGAAAGAACGCATTTAGACACTCCTGTCAGTGCAGGATAGGATAGATACTGTACCACTGAATTAAATAGAACACCAAAGATGGCTGCCTGTATCAACACACTCTAGAGTTTTATGACATGGGCCACTCTATTAATATATATCTCTATATACTGTTCTATGATACTGTTAGGATCTGAGCGGACCTTGTACTGGGCGTGGAGGGGCCACAGGGACCTGGTGGAGCTGGGTTCCAGACAGGGTGAGCTTGTTGCCCTGCAGTTGGAAGGTAACAGGCTTACTGCCCTGGCACGACGACACAGGACGCCCAGCCAACGAGGCCAGGTGGGCGATACTCACTACCTCCCCAGCTGAGATAGAGAGATGAAGAAAGAGAGAGTCATTAAAGAAATGAACTGTTGATGAGTGTCATTTCACCAGTATGCATAAACAAAAAAGGTAAGGAATTTACATTCCAATACATCTTCAGTGCATTTTCAGTTTGTACTTATGCACTGTTCACGCACATTGGTTGCCTGACAGAGTGTTTGAGAGAATGGCAGGTACTCACAGGGAAGCCGGGCCTGCATGTCTGGGCTGAGCAGAACCCGTTGGGTCATGACGTTGCTGGGAGGAAGGGTGGGATGGGTGGCGGGGTTGCAGGAGACGGTGGGCGAGCGCACAGCCAGGACTGGCATTGGGGAGCCAGACCTCACAACAGTGCCCACCGCAAAGGGGCCGCTGGGGTGCATGGGCAGGCGTGAAGGGGCAGTGGGTGCCACTGAACACAACACTGAGGGTTCATGGAAACAAGGGAATAGAAGACAGGATTACATTATGTCTGGTTGTGTAGAATACAATAGTTTGTCCTGCTGTGTAGATGTTTCCACAAGAAATGTTGAATGGAATGTTAAAATCAGACCATAAGAAAAAAAAAACACTTCGATCATGTTGATCTTTTCCATGTAAAATCAACAACTATTCAAGCATTATTTATTTCTAACTCCATGCTATTTAGTACTAACCTTGTTGGACTGGAGGTGGAGGGGTGGGCGTTGGGGTCACATCCTGGATGAGACGGGGCATTGGGGCCTGAGCTGCAGGGGTGACAGGGCAGGTGAGCAGAGGGTTGTTCACCACCAGCACCGTGCAACCATCAGCCTTAGGTAACGGCTGGAACATCCTGTTGACCTTCATGCGGACAGGTTTGGGGCGGGGAGGGGGGTCGGGGGACTCCATGACCTCCTGGATCAGCTGGCGGCTGACCTTCCTGCGGGGCAGAAACACGTCGGCCTGGTACCTGGACACGCTGCCCTCTAGACCCACCAGGTCAAACATGGACAGGTCACCGCGCTGAGGGACAGAGGAGAGTAGAGGTTATGGAGGTTTAGATACGTATAAATGCATTTTATATGCATCTAAACGTGTATATGTGCGCACACACTCAGATGCTAACCTTGAATGGGGAGATCTCCAGGGCTCGCTGTACCAGGGAGGCTGTATGGAAGACGATGGGCTTGGTGATGAAGGGGGAGTGGATGGGCCGCGGGTCAAACAGGTTGGGGTGGTTACACACTTTACGGAGCTGCATCAAGATGTTGATCACAGACATGAAGTGACCGCTAGCCAGCGTTTCCCGGGTACTAAGAGAGAGAGCGATAAAAGGGAGAGAAATAAAGTGAGATTACAAAAAAAAGGGATTCCTATACAATGCTAACTAGTAGATGATCTAAGCAACAGTAGCTGTTTAAAGTACATCATAGTGATGTAAAAACCTTCTGGCAATGAGAAATAGGAATATACAGGTAAAAAGCTAATTACTGGCAGAATTTCAAACCAATGAGCCCTCCTGCAATGCATTAATTTGCTTCCAGTAACACCCTTGTCTATAGATACTCACGAGGCCTGTGCCATGAAGTCATCGTAGAGGAAGCGCTGTCTCTTGGACAGACGGCAGCGCACCACATGTTCATACTTCTTAGGCATCTGCTTCTCCACATCCACCTTGATTCTCCTCAACAGAAACGGCCTAAGCACCTGGAAGGTAAAAACAGAAAGTGGTGATATATCGGGTTAGGGAACAGAATGTCTTTCAAAACATCTCAATGTGCGCAAACATGTAAAACAGTTAGTGGTAATAAATAGTAACTTCTTATTTAACATTAATCTGGACCCTCCTAAATATTCGGACCAATCCACACCCCCTTGACCAACTGCGCGTTACTCCATCTATGCCAGCCTGAGTTCTTACCTTATGTAACCTCTTGACCAGACCCTCATTGTACTCCTGGCTGCCCTCGATCATGCCGGTGAGGGGGTTGGAGAACCACTCCTTGAACTCTCGGTGTGACTGGAAGACGTGGGGCATGAGGAAGTGCATCAGGGACCACAGCTCCATCAGGCTGTTCTGCAGTGGGGTGCCCGTCAAGAGCAGGCGCCTCTGACTGGGGCCAGAAAAAACATAGAATACGTTATAATGACCAGAGGTTATGACTAAAGATTTTTATATTCTACTGGACGAAGAACTTTCAGATTTTGTCATAATTTTGACTGATATTGGTAAAGGAAGAATGCAGAGAAATGGAAGCACTTGTCTGAAGGTTTTTAGAAAAGCGCTATAAGAATCCTTTGTATTATTATGATTATTTATTCATTCATAAATGAGGATTATAAATGTTCAATGGCAACAGTTATACTAGTCATCTATAACCATCTCCTCCCTCCTCTCCCCTCCCTTAGTGCGGACCTGTTGAAGTTGAGCAGGCTTTGCCAGCGCTGGGACTTGAAGTTCTTGATGTTCTGGGCCTCGTCCAGGATGAGGTAGCGCCAGGACTTGCGACGGAAGGCCTGGTGGTCCTGCAGCACCAGCTTGTAGGAGGTGATGCACACGTGGAAGGCGTTGGGCTTGGTCCAACCCTGAAAATAGGACTTTTTTTATTAGCTTATCGAAAGGGTCTGGCACTTGAATTGATCCACTTCAGTGGGCCAGGGCTTTTATCCACTTCAGTATGCAAGACTGACTTTTTGTTCAGTTGGAATGAGACAGGGAGCACCAGAAAGGAGATGAGGCAGCACCAGTGAAGATTATTTTGGAACCCGCAAGGGAAAAGGAAAAGAGGTCGCCAAAGAAAAACCTGGAGGCCGGAGTTTGAGGCAGAACATCTGCAAGGGGTGAAACAAGCTGGAGAGGACTGCCCAGAACAGATTGCGCTGGAGAGGAGTCATCGTGAGGTGCCGTGGGCCCGAGTTAGTGAGTGCCAGTGAAGATTTGTATCCATTTACAAGGGAATTTGGTGATTGTTGGTAGTTGTTTACCTGTCTCTTGAGTTTCCTCTCCTTCTGACTGCCGTAGTAAGTGAGGATTTTGAATCCAGGACACCAGCGCTTCAGCTCCATCTCCCAATTCAGCATCACACTGGTTGGCACGATAATCAGATGGGGCCCCCAGTTACCTGAACAACCAACTTGATTTAGTATCCGATATATAGGTTGGTGCATCTCTTCTATTGTCCTGGTAAAACGTTGAAACGTTGGTGTATGAATGGACGAAAGGATTGTAATGAATGACTCAATGTCTTACCCTTTTCACAGGCGAGGTGAGCCAGCAGGGCGATGGTCTGGATAGTCTTCCCCAGGCCCATCTCGTCAGCCAGGATGCCGTTGAGCTTCTTCTCGTACATGGTGACCAGCCAGTCCAGGCCGATGTGCTGGTACTCACGCAGCTGGCCCACCAGCAAGAACGGAATGGGAGTCTTGACCTATTGACGAAGAACAAACAATTACATGAATAAAGAGATATAGACTAGTTAAGTACACTATATATACACACAAAAGTATGTGGACACCCCTTCAAATTAGTGGATTCGGCTATTTCAGCCACACCCGTTGCTGACAGGTGTACAAAATCGAGCACACAGCCATGCAATCTCCATAGACAAACATTGGCAGTAGAATGGCCTTACTGAAGTGCTCAGTGACTTTCAACATGACACTTTCCAAAAAGTCATTTAGTCAAATTTCTGCCCTTCTACAGCTGCCTCAGTCAACTGTAAGTGCTGTTATTGTGAAGTGGAAACGTTGAGGAGCAACAACAGCTCAGCCGCGAAGTGGTAGGCCACACAAGCTCACAGAACGGGACCGCCGAGTGCTGAAGCGTGTAAATATCGTCTGTCATCGGCTGCAACACTCACTACCGAGTTCCAAACTGCCTCTGGAAGCAACGTCAGCACAATAACTGTTCGTCGGGAAATGGGTTTCCATGGCCAAGCAGCCGCACACAAGCCTAAGATCACCATGCGCAATGCCAAGCGTCGGCTGGAGTAGTGTAAAGCTCGCCGCCATTGGACTCTGGAGCAGTGGAAATGCGTTCACTGGAGTGATGAATCACACTTCACCATCTGGCAGTCCGATGGACAAATCTGGGTTTGGCGGATGCCAGGAGAACACTACCTGACCCAATGCATAGTGCCAACTGTAAAGTTTGGTGGAGGAGGAATAATGGTCTCGGGCTGTTTCATGGTTCGGGCTAGGCCCCTTAGTTCCAGTGAAGGGAAATCTTAACGCTATAGCATACAATAACATTTTAGACGATTCTGTGCTTCCAACTTTGTGTCAACAGTTTGGGGACGCCCCTTTCCTGTTTCAGCATGACAACGCCCCTGTGCACAAAGCGAGATCCATACAGAAATGTTTTGTCGAGATCAGTGTGGAAAAACTTGACTGGCCTGCACAGAGCCCTGACCTCAACCCCATCGAACACCTTTGGGATGAATTGGAACGCCGACTACGAGCCAGGCCTAATCGCACAACATCAGTGCCCGACCTCACTAATGCTCTTGTGGCTGAATGGAAGCAAGTTCCCACAGCAATGTTCCAACATACAGTGCATTCGGAAAGTATTCAGACCTTGACTTTTTCCACATTTTCTTACGTCACAGCCTTATTCTGAAATTGATTACATTGTCCCCCCCCATCAATCTACACACAATACCCCATAATTACAAAGGAAAAACAGGTTTTAAGAAATTGTTGCTAATTTATAAAAAATAAAACTGAAATATCACATTTACATAAGTATTCAGACCCTTTACTCAGTACTTTGTTCAAGCACCTTTGGCAGCGATTACAGCCTCGAGTCTTCTTGGGTATGACGCTACAAGCTTGGCACACCTGTATTTGGGGAGTATCTCCCATTCTTAGATTTGACATTTTAGACATTTAGCAGACACTCTTATCCAGAGCGACTTACAGTTAGTGAGTGCTTCTCTGCAGATCCTCTCAAGCTCTGTCAGGTTGAATGGGGAGTGTCGCTGCACAGCTGTCAGGTTTTCATCAAGGATCGCTGTGTACTTTGCTCCGTTCATCTTTCCCTCGATCCTGACTAGACTCCCAGTCCCTGTCGCGCTGAAAAACATCCCCACAGCATGATGCTGCCACGAACTCTGGAGCTCTGTTAGTGACCATCGGGTTCTTGGTCACCTCCCTGACCAAGGCCCTTCTCCCCGATTGCTCAGTTTGGCCGGACGGCCAGCTCTAGGAAGAGTCTTGGTGGTTCCAAACGTCTTCCATTTAAGAATGATGGAGGCCACTGTGCTCTTGAGGACCTTCAATGCTGCAGACATTTTTTGGTACCCTTCCCCAGATCTGTGCCTCGACACAATCCTGTCTCGGAGCTCTACGGACAATTCCTTCGACCTCATGGCTTGGTTTTTGGTGCTAGGTGCTAACATCAAGGCTTGGTGACCCGATCCTGTAGGTTCATGCTCTACAACATTCAGAGAGTACGACCCTGCCTTACACAGGAAGCGGCACAGGTCCTAAATCCAGGCACTTGTCATCTCCCGTCTGGATTACTGCAACTCGCTGTTGGCTGGGCTCCCTGCCTGTGCCATTAAACCCCTACAACTCATCCAGAATGCCGCAGCCCGTCTGGTGTTCAACCTTCCCAAGTTCTCTCACGTCACCCCGCTCCTCCGCACACTCCACTGGCTTCCAGTTGAAGCTCGCATCTGCTACAAGACCATGGTGCTTGCCTACGGAGCTGTGAGGGGAACGGCACCTCCGTACCTTCAGGCTCTGATCAGTCCCTACACCCAAACGAGGGCATTGCGTTCATCCACCTCTGGCCTGCTGGACCCCCTACCTCTGCGGAAGCACAGTTCCCGCTCAGCCCAGTCAAAACTGTTCGCTGCTCTGGCACCCCAATGATGGAACAAGCTCCCTCACGACGCCAGGACAGCGGAGTCACTCACCACCTTCCGGAGACACTTGAAACCCCACCTCTTTAAGGAATACCTGGGACAGGATAAAGTAATCCTTCTAATAGTAATGTGGTTATCCCACTGGCTATAAAGGTGAATGCACCAATTTGTAAGTCGCTCTGGATAAGAGCGTCTGCTAAATGACGTAAATGTAAAAATGTTAATGTTTTTGCTCTGACATGCACTGTTATCTGTGGGACTTTATATAGACAGGTGTGTGCCTTTCAGATCATGTCCACTCAATTGAATTTACCACAGGTGGACTCCAATCAAGTTGTAGAAACATCTCAAGGATGCTCAATGGAAACAGGATGCACCTGAGCTCAATTTCAAGTGTCATAGCAAAGGGTCTGAATACTTATGTAAAAAAAATTATAATTTTGTTTTGCTTCATCATTATGGGGTAGTGTGTGTAGATTGATGAGGATTATTTTTTATTTCATCCATTTTATAAGGCGGCTGTAACTTGTGGAAAAAGGGAACGGATCTAAATACTTTCAGAATGCACTGTATAGTGGAAAGCTTTCCCAGAAGAGTGGAGGCTGTTTAACCAGCAAAGGGGGGACCAACTCCATTTTAACGCCCATGATTTTGGAATGAGCAGGTGTCCATATACTTTAGGTCATGTAATGTATTTTACTATTGGAGGACAGGCTTATTGTAATGGCTGGAACGGAATGAATGGAACAATATTAACCTTTCCCTTAAGTTAAGTCAACTCCAAACTAATAGCAAAGGGTCCTTACTTGATCATCTGGCCAGTGTTGTAGGGCATGGGTTACCCACCTTGGTTGTGGCAAGGGTGTAGCCTTTGGGTTGCAGGCTCTCTGCAGTAGCAGCAATGTGGCTGATCTCCTTCTTGGGCCGCGGGCCGGTTGGGAGAGGGGGACTGTGGTCCCCCTCCTTCAGCAGGATCTCCATCCCCTCATCGCACTCATCATCTTCATCACTATCCTCTTCATCATTGTCACGGACCTCTTCCTCTTCACTGTCCTCATTATCTAGTGAGTGGTTGGTGAGAAGAGGGGTAATGCAGTGAACATGGTATAATCAGGACAAATGCAATAGCTTGACAGTCAAATCCATAAGGTAAAAGCCCTTGAAAAAGTCGGTTTTTGGTTTGTAGGTCGATCTTCAGTATCAATTCAATCTGAAAGCCCAGTGTGAAGCTTCCTAGAGTTTTCGCTAGGTTAGAGAGCAAAGATATTCTATTTTGTTACAGTGGCCAGTACCTGAGGAGGTGATGTTGCTTTCCACGTCACTTTCGTCTTCCTCGCTCTCCTCTTCCTCGTCTCCAGAATTTTCAGACTCCTCGGAGCTGGCAGGAGAGGCAGGCGCCGAGGGCTCCTCGAAATCAGAGGCGTACGCTCCTTTGTACTTCTCCAGCAGCTCCTCCACAGTCATGTCACCTGGGAAGGGAATGGGAAGGAAATGACGTTTAGAATGGTCTTGAATAATGGACGTTCTGGCAACAGATAGGAATATAAAAAGTTACTTGTGGAGCTTGTAATGACAATAGTTTAAAAACAACTACACAGCCCATTGAACTCAACATCTGTGCAGCAGATAGAGCTGTTTTACTATTTTAGTAGTGTGGGTGGTTACCTTCTTTGGCCAAGTCATCCAGCTCGCCTGCGTGATCTGCTTCCCCCTCCACCACCTCTTGGGCTGCGATGGTGTCCTCCTCATCTTCAGCTGAGCACCACAGACAGGGACAAATAATTACACAATACTCACAGCCAAGTCAATATATTGACAAGTGAGCTATTTTACATGCATATAACATACACTGCAATTGGATAACAAAGTCTCACTTACCATTCTCTTCGTTGGCTGTGAACTCTGCGTCTACGTCCACTGTTGTGGACGAATTGTCTGAGCACTCCTCTTCCGAGTCCTATAGAAGGAACAATGTCAGTCTCCACCAAATAACAACATTTACAACATTTTAGTATGAACAATGAGGTTAATGTGCACCAGCTTATACAAAGGAAGGGCATGGGAGTGCAGTATGCAAGTGTTTAAGTGAGGGGCTCTGCCCAGTCTCCTGTGTCAGTGGTACCAACCTGTGAAAGGGGCCGTTTGAGGGTGCTGAGCAGCTCTGCAAGGGACATGGTTCCCTCTTGTCTCAGCAGCTCAATCTCCCTCCTCTGGGTCTCGGGGTCATTGCCATCCTGTTCCTCCTCCACTTCGATGGTCTCCTCATCATCCTCCTCCTCCTCACCACATGGAGGCTCAAAGTCTCTGTCTGCAAACGGAACGAAGGAAGAGAGAGAGGAAAGTTAAATCTTGTCCCCATATGGCCACAGTATGTTAAGGCACCTGGGCTAGAAACTGTGCAGGACTCTGCATCAGGCTTATTTGAACAGCATTGAACAGTCTCCAGCTCTGGAAAAGCTTTGCTTCCATTATGCCAACTAAGCCACGTCTGATGATTGGAATGTCACTGCACTTCAGAGATGCAATAATTGCATCGTTTCTAGCCAGAAAAAAAAGGCAGGAGATGAGACTGGCCTTTTGCCTTGGGCAATTCCACGATAACGGAATTACACTGAGACTCAGATTTTGCACTTTAACCCATAAGAGTCTAAGCCCTGTCTAAACCAGGCTGGGGGGGGGGGGGGTGGTTCTACTAAGCTACAGTACTTTCTAATTTTCTCAACTTTTGCATAATTTTTATACTGAATGTTATCAGATCTTCAACCAAAACCTAATATTAGCTAAAGGGCAACCTGAGTGAACAAATAACAACAATTACATACTTATTTAATGTATTTAATAAACAATGTTATGCAACACCCAATGCCCCTGTGTGAAAAAGTAATTGCCCCCTTTCACTCAATAACTGGTTGTGCCATCTTTAGCTGCAATGACTCCAACCAAACACTTCCTGTAGTTGTTGATCATTCTCTCACATCGCTGTGGAGGAATTTTGTCCCACTCTTCCATGCAGAATTGCTTTAACTCAGCGACATTTGGTAGTTTTCAAGAATGAACTGCTCATTTCAAGTCCTGCCACAACATCTCAATTGGGATTAGGTCTGAACCAAAACTTCAAATGTGTTGCTTTTTAACCATTTTCATGTAGACTTGATTGTGTGTTTTGGATCATTGTCAGACAGAGCTTGAGAGGATCTGCAGAGAAGAATGGGAGAAACTCCCCAAATACAGGTGTGCCAAGCTTGTAGCGTCATACCCAAGAAGACTCGAGGCTGTAATCGTAAAGGGTCTGAATACTTATGTAAATGTAATATCCGTTTTTTATTTTGTATACTTTTGCAAAAATGTCTAAAAACCTGTTTTTGATTTGTAATTATGGGGTATTGTGTGTAGATTGATGAGGGAAAAAAACAATTTAATCTATTTTAGAATAAGGCTGTGACGTAACAAAATGTGGAAAAAGTCAAGGGGTTTGAATACTTCCCAAATGCACTGTACGTGTTCGTGAGAGTCTCCCCTTTCTACAGTGGGGTCATATTAGTGTGTGCCCCAACTGTTCGGATGCTACAGACAGACGTTGGCAGATCGGCTGTACCGACTTCAGACGAGTCCCAAGACGCGTGTGGGGGTCGTAGAGCAAAACGGAGGCAACCGTTGTGTTCGCGGGAGTCTCATCTTTCCACAGAGGGGTCATAATAGTTTGTAGGCCAAACGGACACTACAGACGATTTTGTGAGAAGACTGATTTTCGGTATGTCTCACGGTCTGACAAACACCGCTCTAGCTCTGTCACCTTTCACCGCAGATTCGGAAGTGCGACATAGGCGGATGCGGTGGATTGAGACGCATCCAATGCAAAAAAAACATCTCTATCTTAAACTGACAGATTTTTTAGGGGGATGTTCTTATTATGCTAATTAGATTTCCGCTGGGACGTCGACCTTAGAGGGTTAAAATGTATCCTAATCAAAATCCATTTATTTCAAAATGTATCAAGCCATATAACTATGCACAAGGATTACATTTAACAATTTACACCGAAAATTTGACAAAAACACATTTACTGAGTCTCAGCGTAATTCTGTTACCGTGGAATTGCCCTCGTCACAGCTGTGCTTCCTCTAGTAGTTGAGCAGCCCTTGTACTAAAGTCATTGTTTAACTCCAACGCCTTTCTGCACAAACAGAAATGTGTAATTTGTAATGGTGGCAGCAGCCTAACCCGGCAGCCAGCCAGTCTGGTCGCTGGACTGGCATCACTGAGTCTGACAGTTGCTAATGGAGACTAAACAGAGGCATGCTGATAGTACTAGTACTAGCTTTGGATTAACAATAGCAATTCATTGCATTTAAATAGTGCTTTTCACAAAGTCTCAAAGCAACACATCCATCACCAATGTGTAGCACCAACACGTGACACACAGAAGGCATTTTGCACCAGGATGCATAACATACAGTACATCAGCTGAAGTAAGAGCAGCGGCTACAACAACCTCCTTATGTTGTAAATTATAGGTAGGTAGGACTCAGTGGAGACTACTGAGGGGAGGACCGCTCATAATAATGGCCGGAATGGAGTGAATTGAATGGTATCAAACACATGGTTTTCATGCATTTGATACCATTCCATTCACCCCATTCCAGCCATTATACTCCATTCCAGCCATTATTATGAGCCGTCCTCCCCTCAGCAGCCTCCACGGGTAGAACTAGAGAGCCTAAATAGGGGAAATCTGGATACTCAATAATTAATTAGCAAAGAAACAGTTCTCACCATCTTCATCCACAACAAGTGGAAGAGATGTTTTGGGTGGTGAGGGTGTAGGTTCACTGTTCCCAGCCGGTGCCGTTTCCAGGGCCTGACTGAGGAGGTCAGAGTATTTCTCTGTCTGGCCCACGATGAAGTCCAGCTGGAGGTCCAGAGCCTTCTTCCTCTTCTCCTCTAACCGGGACTGCTGCTTGTACTGCACCACCTTCTCAACACTGCTCCAGAAGGCCCGGACCTCCTTGGCTATGTTGGAGGCGACTCGTCTGATTTTGGCATGCTCGTCCCTCTTGGCCTTCTCCTCCTTCTGCCTCAGCTCCTCGTGATGTCGCATCACCATCCGCACCACCTGGAGAAACATGAATATCTATTGAGTTCTTTTGAACTTGTTGCACCTAACCTGAAATCATGGCGGCGGTTAAGCAAACAATAGGTAATACCAATCTCTCTGCAATATGGATGCCACTTTGGAGGGATGCCAAGTGGTGTCAAATAAAAGTGATCTAAGGGGGTTTCTTACCTTCCTGGCGACCCCTCTCTTCCACCTCCTCTCCTGGGCAAAGTCGCCCGAGAGCCACTGCATCTCCTCACACAGGTAGTCCCAGTGCACCTTCGGCCGGACTGGCTCCGTCAGGCGGGTCAGTCGCTTCACAGACCAGAAGCCTTCCCTCTTCAACGCTACGGTCCTGCCTTCTATCTCCGCTTCCTACAACACATAGTTCATATCTGGAATTATAGAAATAAAGCAACTCAAGTTGTTCTAATCTAGACAGTTGTTTAAATGAAAAACAATTCACAGTTGACAATTAGGAACAAAGGTCAGAAGGATGAGCAGGAGACGTGCTCCAAATCAGAACGCTGACTCACGTGTTTGGCCAGTTCAGCCATGTCTGCATGACGCTCCATGCGGGGTCGATGGGGAGTGACCGGGTCCGATGGGGAGGAGCCACCTGGGCCCATAGAGGGCAGAGAGAGGAACCTGCCCTGGGCACCTCGGAGAATGAGGGGAGTAGTGCTGGGAGTCCAGTCACTAGGGGATGATAGGCCAGGAGAGGGGGACGAAATGGAGGAGGAGGTGGGAGACGAACTTTGCGTGACCCTGTCTGCTATCCACTGGCGTACCTGGAAACAGAGGAAAAGAAGACGAGAAGGAAATGAGGACTTTTGAGCAGGACCATAACAAGATTGTGCCTACAGGAACAGAGGCAAACATGGATAGAGATCACAGCTACAGTGGCTTGCGAAAGTATTCAACCCCTTGGCATTTTTCCTATTTTGTTGCCTTACAACCTGGAATTAATTTTTAGGGGGTTTGTATCATTTGATTTACACAACATGCCTACCACTTTGAAGATGCAAAATATTTTTTGTTGTGAAACAAACAAGAAATAAGACTAAAAAACAGAAAACTTGAGCGTGCATAACTATTCACCCCCCCAAAGTCAATACTTTGTAGAGCCACCTTTTGCAGCAATTACAGCTGCAAGTCTCTTAGGGTATGTCTCTATAAGCTTGGCACATCTAGCCACTGGGATTTTTGCCCATTCTTCAAGGCAAAACTGCTCCAGCTCCTTCAAGTTGGATGGGTTCCACTGGTGTACAGCAATCTTTATGTCATACCACAGATTCTCAATTGGATTGAGGTCTGGGCTTTGACTAGGCCATTCCAAGACATTTAAAATGTTTCCCCTTAACCACTCGAGTGTTGCTTTAGCAGTATGCTTAGGGTCATTGTCCTGCTGGAAGGTGAACCTCCGTCCCAGTCTCAAATCTCTGGAAGACTGAAACAGGTTTCCCTCAAGAATTTCCCTGTATTTAGCGCCATCCATCATTCCTTCAATTCTGACCAGTTTCCCAGTTCCTGCCGATGAATAACATCCCCACAGCATGATGCTGCCACCACCATGCTTCACTGTGGGGATGCTGTTCTCGGGGTGATGAGAGTTGTTGGCATTTGGCATCCACCAAACCCAGATTTGTCGGCCGGACTGCCAGATGGTGAAGCGTGATTGATCACTCCAGAGAACGCATTTCCACTGCTCCAGAGTCCAATGGCGGCGAGCTTTACACCACTCCAGCCGACGCTTGGCATTGCGCATGGTGATCTTAGGCTTGTGTGCGGCTGCTCAGCCATGGAAACCCATTTCATGAAGCTCCCGACAAACAGTTATTGTGCTGACGTTGCTTCCAGAGGCAGTTTGGAACTGGGTAGTGAGTGTTGCAGCCGAGGACAGATGATTTTTACGCGCTACGCGCTTCAGCACTCGCCGGTCCCATTCTGTGAGCTTGGCTTGTGTGGCCTACCACTTCGCAGCTGAGCCGTTGTTGCTCCTAGACGTTTCCACTTCACAATAACAGCACTTACAGTTGACTGGGGCAGCTCTAGCAGGGCAGAAATTTGACGAACTGACTTGTTGGAAGGTGGCATCCTATGACAGTGCCACATTGAAATCACTGAGCTCTGCATTAAGGCCATTCTACTGCCAATGTTTGTCTATGGAGATTGCATGGCTGTGTGCTCAATTGTACGGTGTGGCTGAAATAGCCGAATCCACTAATTTGAAGGGGTGTCCACATACTTTTGTATATATAGTGTATACTGCAGCACCAACATTTTTCTACATTTAACTAACCATAGCCATCAAGCTCCAAATTATTCTAACTGAAAAAGGAGTTTATGTTCTCTCTGCTACCACACAGCAAGCGGTACCGGAGCGCCAAATCTAGGTCCAAAAGGCTCCTTAACAGCTTCTACCCCCAAGCCATAAGAATGCTGAACAGTTAATCAAATGGCTACCCAGACTATTTGCATTGACCCCCTCTTTTTGTTACACTGCTAATACTCGCTATTTATTATCTATGCATAGTCTCTTTACCCCTACCTACATGTACAGTACCAGTAAACATTTTGGACACACCTACTCTTTCAAGGGTTTTTCTTTATTTTTACAATTTTCTACATTGTAGAATAATAGTGAAGACATCAAAACTATGAAATAACACATATGGAATCATGTAGTAACCAAAAAAAGTGTTAAACAAATCAAAATATATTTTAGATTCTTCAAAGTAGCCACCCTTTGTCTTGATGACAGATGTGCACACTCTTGGCATTCTCTCAACCAGCTTCACCTGGAATGCTTTTCCAACAGTTTTGAAGGAGTTCCCACATATGCTGAGCACTTGTTGGCTGCTTTTCCTTCACTCTGCGGTTCCAACTCATCCCAAACCATCTCAATTGGGTGGAGGTTGGGTGATTGTGGAGGCCAGGTCATCTGATGCAGCACTCGATCACTCTCCTTCTTGGTCAAATAGCCCTTACACAGCCTGGAGGTGTGTTGGGTCATTGTCCAGTTGAAAAACAAATGATAGTCCCACTAAGCCCAAACCAGATGGGATGGCGTATTGCTGCAGAATGCTGTGGTAGCCATGCTGGTTAAGTGTGCCTTGAATTCTAAATAAATCACTGACAGTGTCACCAGCAAAGCACCCCCACACTTCCTCCACCGTGCTTCACGGTGGGAACCACACATGCGGAGATCATCCGGTCACCTACTCTGCGTCTCACAAAGACACGGCGGTTAGAACCAAAAATCTCAAATTTGGACTTATCAGACCAAAAGGACAGATTTCCACCGGTCTAATGTCCATTGCTCGTGTTTCTTGGCCCAAGCAAGTCTCTTCTTCTTATTGGTGTCCTTTAGTAGTGGTTTCTTTGCAGCAATTCCACCATGAAGGCCTGATTCACGCAGTCTCCTCTGAACAGATGATGTTGAGATGTGTCTGTTACTTGAACTCTGTGAAGCATTTATGTGTGCTGCAATCTGAGGTGCAGTTAACTCTAATGAACTTATCTTCTGCAGCAGAGGTAACTCTGGGTCTTCCTTTCCTGTGGCGGCCCTCATGAGAGCCAGCTTCATCATAGCGCTTGATGGTTTTTGCGACTGCACTTGAAGAAACGTTCAAAGTCTTGAATTTTTCCGGATTGACTGACCTTCATGTCTTAAAGTAATGATGGACTGTCGTTTCTCTTTGCTTATTTGAGCTGTTCTTGCCATAATACGGACTTGATCTTTTACCAAATAGGGCTATCTTCTGTATACCACCCCTACCTTGTCACAACACAACTGATTGGCTCAAATGCATTAAGGAAAGAAATTCCACAAATTAAACAAGGCACACCTGTTAATTGAAATGCATTCCAGGTGACTACCTCATGAAGCTGGTTGAGAGAATGCCAAGAGTGTGCAAAGCTGTCATCAATGCAAAGGGTGGCTACTTTGAAGAATCTCAAATATAAAATATATTTTGATTTGTTTAACACTTTTTTGGTTACTACATGATTCCATATGTGTTATTTCATAGTTTTGATGTCTTCACTATTATTCTACAATGTAGAAAATGGTATAAAGAAAGAAAAACCCTGGAATGAGTAGGTGTGTACAAACTTTTGACTGGTACTGTACATATTACCTCAACTAACATGTACCCCCGCACATTGACTCAGTACCGGTACCCCGTGTATATATCCTCGTTATTGTTATTGTGTTATTTTATGTATTTTTTTAGTAAATATTTTTCTTAACTCTTATTTTTCTGCATTGTTGGTTAAGGGCTTGTAAGTAAGCATTTCACAGTAAGGTCTACACCTGTTGTATTCGGCACATGTGATAAATACAATTTGATTTGATTTATAGATCTCCCTTTCAGTTTTTGCTGAATTGAATATCACAAAATTGCATATCAACACATTATGCCTTCATTATAAGCAGACAAAATAAGCATAATAAACAACTATTCGCACAGTAGCAAAATGATTATTGTATGCTGCTTAAGAAAACTGTCAGAGCAATCATTAGCCCATCTTTCATGCTAAAAGAATGGTCTCTGTTGATACATAGCCATATAATTGCTGATTTGGCAACACATCTGAAGAAAGCAGCTAGGCCTACATGGAAAGCCATTTTGGGGCATACCTTGCTCTCTGCTGGGCTGGGGTTGACCATGCTCCTTCGGCCAGGCTGGGCCTCCACTGCCAGGTCAGCCTCCTCATCACTGCTCTCCTCCTTGGGGCTGCTGAGCCCTGGGCCCTTCACACCGGCTAGCCGTGGCCGGATGACGGGGGGTGGTCCAGACTGGCTCCCATCACTGGGGGAACCGGAGAGTTTACTCCTCGTCACATTGCCTGATGTTGAGGGCAACTTGAGGGCAGAGAGGGGCTTGGAAGATGCGTTGGTGATGTTCGGGTTTAGGGTTTGAGACACAGTCACTGCTTTGCCAGTGGATGTTTTGATCGGAGTTAAGGCCTCTTTGTCAGATTTGCATGGTGTGGGTGTGGGAGTAGAGGGAGGGGGCAGACGGGACTGAGATGGGGTGTTTGTAGCGGGAGTAGCAGGAGGTGCTGCTGTGGGTTCTCTCTTGACAGAGGGCTCGGTCTGGTCTCTATGACTGCTGACAGGCAAAGGCTTCGGCAAAGGCACAGAGACTGCGGCTGACACAGCTTTTGGAAGGCACTCTAATACAGGTGCTGTGTCCGAGCCACAGCTGGAGCTGCTAGCGCTAGCCTGTGTCAGGCTGTTGCTCTGCTGCCTAGATACCCCCAACAATAAGGAGGGAGGATGTTTGAGGAGAGGGGTGTCCCCACGCTTTAGTAGAAGGAGTTTTGGGTCGATGATGCCCGAAGAGTGTGTGGACCGGGAAGCCTCTGGGTTGGCCTCGGTTGTTGTCACATTAACGGTACGATAAACATCCTGCTGGGTCTGCACTGGGGTTTCTGTCAGAGTTGGACAGGGCTGTGGATATTTGGTCCCTTCATGAGAAGAAACACAGGGCTTGGGTTCTGTAGTATTTTGTAAGGTGACTCCTGGTACCTCTTTTAGAGGAGGACAATTCTGCTCTCTACCCTCTGGCAGGTGTATGGTAATTGGGGAGGAGAGTACCTCAATACTGTGTTGACTGGTTGACTGTACAACAACCTCTGTTAATTCTTCCATTGGGGAGACAAGAGAAGACGTACTGGCCGTTGCTCCCACTTCCGTTTCCTCTGGCAGCGTTTGTGTGTCACTCAGACTGGTGGCTGGGGAAATGCTCACCCCTCTATGGTCTGAGACAGCTGTGCTGGTCTCCAGACAAGGTGCTGTAGCTTGTGCACAGGTGTCCATCTGTCCATCTGGAGTATCTGATACTGGGACAGTTTGAACTACACACACCTCACTTGAATCTTCCACCACAGCATTGTCCATTTCAGTAGTTGTGTTTTCAGGCTCAAAATTCTGCCCTTCATCAGTCATCTCTACATCTTGTGTGGAGAGACTAGGGGTAAAGTCATTTGAACAGACCATTTCTGAGAGACCGTGATCTGATGAAAGGGGGCCTTGCTGGATAATGACTTGATCATTGTCATTACTCGCTTGAGGGTAAGATAGCAGGTGTATTTCTTGTCCCTCACTGGCTGTACAATTCTCAGAGTGTTCAATGAGTGGGGTGAATAAGTTTACTTCGTAGTTCGGGGAGAGAGACGGTCTCTCTCCAACAACTTCTATCGCAATCTCCTCCTCCACAAAGCTATAAATCTCAAATTCTCCCGCAGCCAGTGGGGCCATTTCGATATCCGAATGGGTCCCTTCAATAAACGACGTTGGTTCTCTGTCAGAAGGTTCAGAGTTTAATTCAATAACAGCAGTATCGCCACTGACAAGATGTTCTTCCAGGAGGACACACTGATCCACCTGCACCTCCTCAGACAACTCCAGGCTGGTCTCTCCTCCAAGCATCACAGCTCCTCGAGCATCAGTTGAGAGCACAAGCTCAGAGACCAGTAGCGTCTCCATCCTGGTTTTGTGGTCAGGATTAGACATCAGAACTTCAGATTGTTCGGTCTGCATTAAGTCTATTTCTGTACTGGGGAGGTGGTGGATAGGAGAGGTTGCTGCTGTTGTTGTCTCTTGTAGAAAAGAGCTTTGTGACTGGATTGTAAAGTTGGGTGAGGGCTTGGCCGTTTCAGTCTCCTCCTCTGCCCTGTTAGTCTCAATCCGTTTTTCTGCTGGGTGAGGGGGATTTTTCTGGATATCGCTCTCACTCTCCTGTCTGTCAGTTGTGTAGTCTGGGGTGGAATTACCACTGCCAGGGGGCGTGTAGGGGACAAGCCCAGAGTATGTTTCTCTTGACTGTGGGGTCCCGGATACGTCAGTTGGTGGGTCTGGGAGTAGCGTTTGCGAACTCCCAAGTGTGACATGTCTACTCTCAGACGGTTCTGTAGATCTCTCAGATTCTTGTGGTCCCTGATCCACCGCATTAGCTCCCTGTATCTCTTCTTGGTCGTCATTCGAGTTCTGCGTGATTTTAGGTTCTGTGGAGATGTAGGTTTGTTTCTTCTTACTGTTGTCAGTGATGGGCACTGGGGGGATAGGCTGCTCAGAATTTGGGAGAATGCCTGCTTGCTCTTTGACTTCAGACAGAGGTATGTGGCTGGCCTGATCTGCCTGAGTAGGCAGAGTTGTTTGAGGCTGATCCATCCCTCTGTCTTCGGTGTGGTCTGGGACTGTATCTTTATTTGGGCTGAGGGGAAGAGGGGACACTGTTGAGCAGGATTCAGAGGGAAGGTTTCTAGCTGGGTGTTCTCCGCCAAGTTCCTCGATTCCAGTCTCTTGTTTATATTCCAATTTCTCTGTCTCTGGGAGAGGCTGGCCCCTTTCTGTCCCACTGATGACCACCAGTCCACCTGCAACTTCCTGCTGCAGAGCCTGGTCCTGACCAGGTCCAGCAGCACTCCACTCTGTACCGCTCGTTTGTCTGTCTGTGTGGCTGCTGTTATCAGTTTGTGACACGTAATGCAAATATTGCGCTGTTCCATCTGTCGGTGTGTCATAGAGTCTGTCTGAATGGGACTCTGTAGAGAGACTTGGGTCCTTCGGGTGCGACGGGCCCAATCTTCCTTGAACAGCCTCACCACCACTATCTGACATTGTCCCTTCTTCAAGGCTGTCCTTAGTGTTGTCGTTGGGGTGAGTCTCTGTGGGTGTGTTATTTTCACCGACGTGTCCGTGTCTTTCCGGCTGTGACGTGGCCATGTTATCCAGTGGTGGGAGAGGCGCAGCGACGACCGGCTGCAGGGATGACCCTGCCACATTTTGCGCAGCCTGAGGGTCGCCACCCAGCACATCCACAGCCGGAGGGGTGCGCTGCTGCACCGCCTCCTCCCCAAAGCTTCCTCCCTCTGTGCTGCTCCGGCTACACACTGCACCTGGAAGCAGTGAGAGGATGTAGTTCAGTTGACGGATAGAAGTACAGTACATGCATTTATAGACAAATAGTTCAATAAGTATCCAGCAAAGGACAATTTGTCAAACTAGTCAGCGTCTCTGGTTAAGGAAGAACTTATCACCTGTCTGTGGTGTGGGACACAGCTCTTCCGTGCTTTCCACTTCCAGGATGCTGATTAAGGTCCCGTCCACATATTCTGAATAAAAAGATAAGTGGTTAGAAGGTAACCCCAAAATGTAAAATGATATATTCCACTGTTCTCTGGACTAGAATACAATTTTCAATTCCATAGAACAACAAATTATTGTTCTACTCTGGTTCCATGTGTGTTTCTCTGAAGAGTTCTCTGTTTCAGAGGGCTTGGTTTAAATGCGGAAGACACATTTCAGTTGAATGCATTCAGTTGTGCAACTGGCTAGGTATCACCTTTATCTGAACAGTTCCATACGTGCACAGTACTGGCCAATGAATGAATGTGGCAACATAGCAACACTGTACACTATTCATTAATCAAACATTGTATTATATGGGGAGGTGAGGTGTTTTTTGAGGCGAAGTTCACAACCTAACGTTATAATTTTCCTACTACAGACTTGAGCATATGTTTCGATTTAGCGACTAACGTTACTTGTTAGCAAATGCAACATATTTTTTACTTGAAATCAAATATGTAATAAAATCTCTAGAATTTGTCCAAAAATAAATAAATAAATACTTTAGGTTGTTAGGTTTGTACAATTGTAACCCGACATGTGGCATTATCAAACATATAGCTACACGCGCAAATTTTGACACACGAGACTCCAGCCATTCAATTCAACATTGGTTACACTGTGGCAAATGCAATTCATTGTAGTTTAAACTAATCTGGACATGCCATGTGCAGCGGGAACATGTGTGCGCTCTTCAGAGAGTATCGTTTCAATAACTGTTGATTTAGCTGGTTAGCCAACTAGCAACAATAGTACCTGGCAAGCATGCTTGCTAGTTGACTAGCTACCTATACAGCTTGCCTTTATCTATTTGACTGTTTTTGGCCCAAATACTCTCAATGCGTTCAACTAGGCGCGCACGCGCCCCATCCCACCCGAAGTTATGTAATGGTCTTTATAAATGCATTTCTGATTCGCTTGAAGCGAAAAGGGGTTTAAAAAGTCGAATTAAACCCCGCTTCCCAACAATTACATGTGACGTCATTGCGCCGGGTCAAATAATAACCACAACTACTAAACATTGAAATCATACATTTAGATATATAGTCAGTCAATATAAATTATTTACCTCATTAAAATAATGACAATAAATTGCTGCTGCAATGTTTGTTGCTAAAATGTAGCAATGACTACGAGGGGGATAAAGGGGGGTTCGAGTGATCCCACACATGCACACTTAGTTATGAATTAAAGACGTTAAAGTGGTATCCCAAGTAGACTTAGTGTAAATCCATTTGATTCTGTATCCAATATGGCCAACGTGATTACACTCAAACACCTTCGCCTGAATATCAGTTGCCCTTGTTGATTTTGTATTGTCTCATTCTGTGGAGAGCTAACGTTAGCGGCAGCCTAGTTAGTACAGATAGTTTTAGCTAAATCCTTTCGTGCCGCAGCTAAATTGACTGGCATTAGGCAAATTCCATGCCACAGCCACTGTTTGGCCATGATGATAAGTACATGTTCTGGCTGCAGATGAAGTCTAACGTTACAGGGAAGGTAAACGAGCCAAATAATTGACACCTGTGTTTTAATCTGTGTTGTAGTGGAGCATGCAGACAAGAATAACTTTGGTAATCCTCAATTGTATAAATACATTTGTCAAAATTAACTGAATGCTGTGTCCCGCCGCGAACAAGCCCCCCTGGTGCCCCCCTACTACTTCCTCCATGCCCCCCTTCTCATGGCCGCCATCTTAAGTTCCCACCTACCTGAAATTTCCGACCAGTTTTCTTTTACAAAAATCTTGTTGAAGGAGTCGTCATCCGGATAAAATCGTACTCAATCCGTGATGATAGTATTCCAAACTGTCTCTCGGTACCCAACGAGGTAGGAGTGGGTCCGTGGGAAGAAGTTATAATACCGACTGAAACAGAGCGGGTTCGGCTCGCCGAATCTAGTGGTTGCGGGGAGGAGACTTTAGACGCAGCGAAATGGTGGAGAAACACTGCTGACAAAGTACAGAAGAAAGTATTATCTCGCGAGAAGTTGCACGGCGCGCCACTGCACTTTCTGGGATAAATAGGACAGTGCATTCACTGCTTTAGTTGAAATTATAGCACATCCCATGATCATTTGGGGGAAATGTTTTATGATGCCATTATCTGCTTAGATTTTATATTGTTCTTTTAAATCAATTAAATATACTGCACTAGGATTTCATTCATTTACCTGGTTATTGCAAATGTTTATTCTCTTTCCATAGAAAAGTTTACAATTTCCCTACTTCTGCACATATTTGTAATTTGTGGTTTCTACTAAACCCAAATGGACTCAATATGCAAAAAAAAGAACCTTTCAATAGCGCACTAAATCCAAATAGCATGCATTACTAGATCCTGGTAGATACAAGCGTTCATTGTGAAACAAGAGAAAACCAGGGCTTTGAAGGTGACAGTAAGCACTACACTATTGTCATATCAGTATCTCTGACAGGGCACATGAATTACCATTACTTCTTTAGTGGTCACAGAACAGTTTAGCTATTGTAAAAGGTCATTGTACAGAGGGATCAGGATGCTGCAATTGAACTAGGTGTTTGCCTACCATTCACTACTGAAGGTGTTAATGCTAGGATCGAACAAAATCCTGCTCTCCAAGGTCAGAGTTGGAGATCCACGCTGTATGCCCTCTCCAAATAAACTTTATCTGGAAAGCATGAAGAATGACAATATGACCATGTCAGAGTATATAATGTGGTCAGTCATCCCTTTGAAGTGGCTGAACTGTCTATTAGACACCAAAACAACCAAACAAATAGAACCCACACAATCAAGTACCCAACATTCATTTAATAATTAATCTTTGTGGTCTCTAGAAGGGGTTTGAAAGGTATAAAATGGTCTTAGAATAATCGACCCAAATGTATTTTCCTCCTCTCAGTATCCACTCAGTCCAGTCGTGTGTAGTACGCACAAGTCCACTGATTCTTTTATCAGTCATCCAGTAGATGTCCCATTCTTCCAAGTATATAATTTATCTGTTCATGGAACATCCCTGTGAAAATGGCTTGCCGGCAGGCGTTCATAGTCCAAAATGTGACGTGACACAAACACAAAGCTCCCTCTCAGTGTATTCATCATATATTCCAAGATCTGATCCATGAAGAGGCCAGAGGTTCTTACTCACGTTCACAAGCATTTAATTTCTCAGTCAAACAAAACTTTTACTGCCTGATCTGGAACAACCTAAATTTGTTAATAACAGGGGAGTGCATTCGTGATACCTGAAAACAATGAGAAACATAAAGTGAAAATATTTATTTTCATTATAGAAGATAAATGTTAACAATAATAATTACAAAGGCAATTTCACTAGACTACTGGTCCTGCTCATAATGTAGAGTCAGAAAGATGAATGGGAAACAGTTTAATAGTTTTAGATATTGTCCACCGTGGCCGCACAGTTCATAGCATCATTCATTATTTTAAATACAAGAGGTGGAGCCGAGGTTCTTAGATCACAGAGGAGTGGCGAAGTTGAGGGGAGTGGGTCATTTTTGGGAGGAACGGAGAACTAAAGTACAGATTTAGAATCTTCAGACGTTTCATCGGTAATCTAGTCTTTTCACAATTACAGAGGACACAAAAAAGGAAAACCATAGAAATATACTGTGCTACTAGGGCCGGGAAGATACTAGTGTCGCGATACCCATTAGTATCGTGGCAAGAAAACAAAACACGAAGCGGATTTAACTTCTTTAGACAAACAGCCCTAATGTTGGAAACAAACATTGTTGTTATCCAGTCACATGTATTTATTTTCCAAGCTATAGCACACTATTTTACACAGAGCAGGTTTTTAAAGGACCAAAGTGTTTTGTCTGCTGTGCGTTTTCTTTTGCCATGGAAAAATATTTTGCCCCTTGGTATCGTCCCAGCGCTATGTGCTACCATAATTCTTTAGCTCTCATCCAGAAAACAGCTCGACGTGTGTTTTATGCAAAGGGTTTTTATATATCATTACTTAGAATGAGATAAGGATGAACCATTCACATGTACAAAATGTGCACATCTCTCTTGGAGTTTCTTATCCAACCCGAAAAAGCTTGCTTCAAACTTGATCATATTAAATTGGAAAAGCCTCTGCATACAGCTATCATTATTGTATGTATGTATCTCTCCTATGGACAACCAACAAACCTTCTTAAAATAATAATACACTAGGATGCACATAAACCATGTACCTTCAAAATTGCACTGATAGAACCAGTGGATAATGTACTGAGTCGTCCTGACAAGTCTCTGTATCCCTTCCCTGCCTTCAACCCCAACCAACCAGCAACACCATTTGGGGGACTGAGACCGTGATTGGTCTAGAGCCTGAGTAAGCTGTGTGTTGTAGTTCCTAAAAGGTGTTCCATCTTTCAGGAAACCTAGTAAGAGCAGCACAGTAATCCTGACATTTCCCTTCTACTCCTCCGGTGTGTCCCTGTACTATCTGGACTCGCCTTCTTTGTGAGAGCTGTACAGTGCCAAGTCCCCGGGCCCACCCAGTCTACGGGTCGGGGTCGAAGACCTGCTGGTCACAGATGGAATGAGTGGAGGGGGGGCGCCTACGGACAGTGCCCCGACCAGGCCAGCAGGGGTCTTGGCCAGGATGCCATTTGGCACGTGGTGAGCGTGGAGAGGCCCCAGGCGGGAGTAGAGGCCGGGGTGGTGGGGAGAGGGGTTGGAGGCTCCAGGCTGATGGAGATGTGAGTGGGAGAGCATCCCGGCATGCAGCTGCTCCAGGTGGGCTGCGTGAGAACCCGGTGGGAGGTGGGAGCCCGAGAGGTGCGGGTGAGCATGCATCCCGAAGTAGCGTGCCCTTTCAAAGTCTTCTCTTAGGATCTGGGCGCGCTGCTGCTCATCCATGAGGCCGCCACCTGGGGGCCCCAGCTGGGGAGGGCGGTCAAAGTGGTGGGCCATTAGGCCAAACTCCTGGCGGACCGAGGAGGTAGAGGTAGGAGGGTGGTGGTGAGGGTTGTTGGCAGCCACCGCTGCCGCCAAGGCCGCCGCCCTCTCGGCCTCCAGGAAGCGCTGGGCGTGCTGGGCCTGGAGCAGCCGGGCCAGGTGGGGGTCTGAGCGCAGCGCCAGGTGGGGGTCCGAACGCAGGGCCATGGTCTCTCGGCGTTGCTGCTGCTGCTGCTGTTGGGCGGCCAGCTCCCTCCATGGGTCCCATGGGAAGCTGTGGGGGTGCTGGCCGTGCCCCTGGGGTGGGCCGTGGGGGTGGGTGGAGAACCTCTCTCCCCCTGGACCCACTACTATCCCCCCAGCACCTTGTGTGCTCCCCAGGTAGGCCTCAATGGCAGCCTGTGCTCGGGAGCGCTCCAGGAGGGAGAGGTGATGGTTGTGCGGGGTGGGAGGAGGTAGGGGCACCGCGGGCGTGGGAGTCAGAGAGAGAGAAGAAGAGGGGGTGGCGGAGCGGTGGTGGTGAGGGCGGCTGTTGGGGCGGTCGTAGTTGTGGCTGGGGGGCAGAGGCGGCGGCAAGGAGATTGGCACGATCTCCGGTTCCTCCTTCCGCTCCTCCTTGACCTTGACTGGGGGAAAGAGGGGGGGAGGCTTGGGCACCGGGGTGGTGGTTCGGTCAGGCTTCTTGCCCTGGGGCAGTGAGGTGACCGTGGCTGAGGAACAGGATGAGGCAGGTGGGCCTCCCTCTCTTTGTGAGGAGTGGGTGGGTTCGCTGTGGAGGCCGTGCAGCACTGAGGGCTGCTGACGGGGGTACAGATCCAAGGGGGAGGGGGCGCCGGGTCCCGAGGGCGGGGGAGTCGTCAGCACAGAGGAAGAGGAGGAGCGAGGTCTGTCTCTGTCTGCTGCAGCTGCTGAGAATGAAGAGCCTAGAGGAGGCGGCCTGGAGGAGACCGAGAGGAGCAGTCTCTTGTCTCCGTCTCTGCGTGTCAGATCCTCAGTGAGACCGCCGGGGCCTCCCAGAGGGCCCCCGTGCCCATTGATGTGGGAGACGGGGGTGCTGCTGCAGTGCTGCTGGAGCTTGAGGGCTGGGGCCACCGGAGACATCTGCACAGGTTGACGACCATATAGCATATTGTCTCTGAAAAAGATCATGAAGATGGTAGGGGAGTGGTATGCAAATTCAGCACTCAAATCAATTACAGTTTTGAATTTGTTAAGAGTAACATGAACTGAATCAGACAGAAAACTACTATAGAAAGATAAGTCAGTTCAAACAGCATATTTAGGAACTAAGTTGATAAACTAGTGTCGAGGCTGTTGTGTCTCACCTGTCTTTCTCGTCTTTGATGTGAATAATGTCTCTCCTCTCCATGTCCTTTCCCGTGTCCCGCTCGTCTCTCTTCTCAGCCCCCTTGGCCCAGCTAGGGCCAGCCAAGGGGGGAGGCCCACCGTGCAGTCGGTTCCAGGGGTCATGAGGGTTGGGTAAGCCCCCGACCGCAGGAGGCTCCTTGTGACCAAACACTGAGCTGTTAGCTGGAGACAGAAAGACAGAATAAAGTTAGTCATTTTAGTAGAGACTGTACATCTTATTATGCAAGGAGTAATGACAAACTATGCTTCTTTTTTGAGGAAGAGAAATGGTGACTCACCCAGCGTAGGGCTGCCCAGTCCCCCGAAGGCACCAGAGCCCAGGGCTCCGAGAGGGGTGAACGGAGGTGACCGGCCGTACGGATCTGCAACAACGCATGTAAACATCAGGACTGATGCGCAGACACAAGCCTTACAGCATTAGACCTCTGGCAATATTCATTACTAGTGTTCAGACTCACTGGGGCCTATTAGTCACATGCTGAAAAGTTAGTATGCTTTAATTGAATATCTAGGCTAATAAGGTGTTTTAGTGACCTGTGAGTAGGCAAATCAATTTCTTGTTTACTGAAGGTGCAAGTGGTACAGATACGCCCTTTGAAGCAGTCTCTTACCTACAGTGAGGGAAGAAAGTATTTGATCCCCTGCTGATTTTGTACGTTTGCCCACTGACAAAGACATGATCAGTCTATCATTTTAATGGTAGGTTTATTTGAACAGTGAGAGACAGAATAACAACAACAAAAATCCAGAAAAACGCATGTCAAAAATGTTATAAATTGATTTGCATTTTAATGAGGGAAATAAGTATTTGACCCCCTCTCAATCAGAAAGATTTCTGGCTCCCAGGTGTCTTTTATACAGGTAACGAGCTGAGATTAGGAGCACACTCTTAAAGGGAGTGCTCCTAATCTCAGCTTGTTACCTGTATAAAAGACACTTGTCCACAGAAGCAATCAATCAGATTCCAAACACTCCACCATGGCCAAGACCAAAGAGCTCTCCAAGGATGTCAGGGACAAGATTGTAGAGCTACACAAGGCTGGAATGGGCTACAAGACCATCGCCAAGCAGCTTGGTGAGAAGGTGACAACAGTTGGTGCGATTATTCGCAAATGGAAGAAACACAAAATAACTGTCAATCTCCCTCGGCCTCCATGCAAGATCTCACCTCATGGAGTTGCAATGATCATGAGAACGGTGAGGAATCAGCCCAGAACTACAAGGGAGGATATTGTCAATGATCTCAAGGCAGCTGGGACCATAGTCACCAAGAAAACAATTGGTAACACACTACGCCGTGAAGGACTGAAATCCTGCTGCGCCCGCAAGGTCCCCATGCTCAAGAAAGCACATACAGGCCCGTCTGAAGTTTGCCAATGAACATCTGTCTTTGTCAGTGGGCAAACGTACAAAATCAGCAGGGGATCAAATACTTTTTCCCCTCACTGTAAGTGTGCAGTCGAAGTGAGGAAAAAGGAGACCATTTAAAAAATAATTTACTAACTATTTGCAATATCAAGGAATCTTTCCTCTTTGCCTGAGGTTTTTAAAAAGCCTCAGGCACTCTACTCATCAAATTGGATGTAGTCTATCACAGTGCCATCCGTTTTGTCACCAAAGCCCCATATACTACCCACCATTGTGACCTGTACGCTCTCGTTGGCTGGCCCTCACTACATATTCGTCGCCAAACCCACTGGCTCCAGGTCATCTATAAATCACTTCTAGGCAAATCCCTGCCTTATCTTAGCTCATTGGTCACCATAGCAACACCCACCCGTAGTATGCGCTCCAGCAGGTATATCTCACTGGTCATCCCCAAAGCCAACACCTCCTTTGGCTGCCATTCCTTCCAGTTCTCTGCTGCCAATGACTGGAACGAACTGCAAAAGTCTCTGAAGCTGGAGACTTATCTCCCTCACTAACTTTAAGCATCAGTTGTCAGAGCAGCTTACCGATCACTGCACCTGTACACAGCCCATCTGTCATTAGCCCACCCAACTACCTCATCCCCACATTGTTATTTATTTTGCTCATTTGCACCCCAGTATCTCTATTTGCACATCATCTTCTGCACATCTATCATTCCAGTGTTAGTGCAAAATAATTACAATTTAGTATTATGTCCTATTTATTGCCTTACCTCCATAACTTACTACATTTGCACACACTGTATATAGATGTTCTATTGACTGTATGTTTTGTTTATTCCATATGTAACTCTGTGTTGTTGTTGTTTTTATCTCACTGCTTTGCTTTATCTTGGCCAGGTCGCAGTTGTAAATGAGAACTTGTTCTCTGTAGCTCGGTTGCTAGAGCATGGCGCTTGCAACGCCAGGGTTGTGGGTTCGATTCCCACAGGGAGCCAGTATGAAAAATGTATGCACTCTGGATAAGAGCGTCTGCTAAATGACTAAAATGTCAACTGGCTTACCTAGTTAAATACTTTTTTTTATCCTTATGGTGAATACAATTGCAGCACCTTTTCTTAAAACATATCTTGCTAGACAAAACAAGCACCCACCAGTGGCTGTAAAGAGGCTGGCAGGTCGGTTCAGGTCGTGGGCAGAGGGGAGGCCACCTCCAAGGGGCCCCAGTGTGACCAGGCCCCCGGCCCCCGGAAGACGAGCCAGCATCTCGCTACGGAAGTCCAGCTTGTGCGGATCAGCCTGCATCAGCTGAGAGAGAGGACAGTGGTGGTCAGTCAATGCAATGGCCATAGCTTTTTCAATAAACATGGACAACTTGACCAATATCTATCATTTTTTTGATGATTTGATCACATCTTATAATGTTTGAGATGCTTCAGGTGGTCAAATTAATCTGAAATACTTTCTACTTATTTTATAAAAATCACAATTGATAGGATCAGATTGAAGTGTAATAAATTGTGACAAACATTTCACAAGTCCTACCTTCACTTTCTTCTGATGTCTCAGAATCATCCACGCCACACGTACATGCATAGCACACCACTTCCCTGGTTTCTGTGTAGACAAAAACACACGATTGACTCGGTGATCCTGTTTAGCTTGCATTAAGACTTAAGGCCTTTGCACACCGAGTCAGATGAAATGGTGTTAATGTCTGCCATATGAAATGTTCGTCTGGCACAGCATCAACATGAGAATGGGGGTGAAAAGGTACAGTTGAGGTACAATTTAGTAAGGAAAGCATCAGTAATACCAATATATTATGGGTCAGTTTATTTTTCCTGGACAAATAAAACAGATGATCAAAATCCTTCTGAAATGAGTAATGACGGAAAGTTGCAGGGAGTTTCACAGTAGGTGTGCCAAAAGTTGGAAGAAATCGGACATGGTGTGCAAGGGCGTTTTGTCAAATAGTTTTCAATATAGCAGTCATGACCAAGAGTGAGTAAGAAAACAAAACGGTACAGTATCATAATACTTTTTTAAAAACGAAGTATGTTGATAAAGCATCTGGCTTTGCTTACATTACTGACTTTCAGCGATGTCCCAAATGGATCAGTTAGCTAAAAAAAAATAATAAGAAGAATAGTAAACCATGTGTGTTAAGATTTCCCACTCTTTATCCAACTGTTTACTGTTTGTGATTCACGCTTTCCTGCACTGACTACTAGGTCCAAGTCTTTGCGCATAATGTGTATTGTCCATCAATACCAGCTCAATCCTAGGCTACAAGCTTCAGTTGTAACCTTTGTCATCGTATATTCTAAAATGTCATCCGTTTTATACTGAGCATCTTACCATGGGGTCTTTGGGCTGCAGGTGGTGAGGCACAACCCCCAGTCGAGCTGTCATCTCAGGACTTGTTCCCTGGGGGACAAGAGGCTGTATCAAAACACAGCAAACAGTTTGTCATCTAGACACCGCATGACATATCATCATCCATTGACTTATGTAGCTAAAGCTCCACTCACCTTAGGCTGGAAGGCTCCTTGCAGAGAGCTGAAGGGCCCAGTGGGAGGAAGGACGGGCTGGATGCCTGGCACTGGGGGAGGAGGGTACTGTGGGAAGAACTACATCAGCAACACACACACAGAGGCTGGTTAAAACTACACTCCCCAGACCCCATTCTGCCTAAGTCCTACCACATTCATCTCAACATCCACCACAGCAACGTATAACCAAACTAATTCTGGAGCATGTAAATGTAAACTCACAGTGTTTCTGTAGAGCCCCTCCATCTTCCCATATTTCTCAAACTAAAAGACAAACACAAAAAGCGGTTAATGACAAATTGACAACACTGGCATTTCAAGGCAGAAGCTGCTCTATGAAACCCAACGTGACAGGGTAGAACGTAATCTCTTACCAGGTGCTGAGGCGGTGGTGCGGAGGCGGTGGGGTGCAGGAAGGGGGTGAAATGTTGGTGCGTATGTGTATGCTGGTGCTGGTGGTTGTGCTGGTGGAACTGGAAGGCCAGGGGCTGGATTCCGGGCTGGGCCTGAGAGGAGCGGCCTGAGGAGCCCGAGCTGGGGCTGGCCCCCGATGGACCTCCGGGAGTAGAGCGGCCTGGCCCGCCACCGTTGAGCTCAGCCCCAGGGACACTGCGGCGGCCCTCGCGATCCTGCGAGGCCAGGAAGTGAGAGTTCAGGCCATGGCGCAGCAGGTCCTGGTCTGCAGTAGTGGAACAGACAGAGGAATGGAGAATCTATTTTAAATAGGTGGATATGGAGCACAAATAAGTCATTTTATAACACTGTGACAGTAGGATGTCCAAGTACCCAAATGAAGCTAGCAGTAGACCTGATTGGTAAATAAAAACGCACAGATTTACAATTATGCTTGATGATCTGACAGAGGCTGTGAAAAAAGGTGAATAGCATTACACATTGGTGCCAACTGTACAGTACCTGCTCCTGAGTGGGAAGTGAGGAGAGGAGGTGGAGGGGGAAGCCCAGGGGAGGGGGTGAACATGGCACCAGAGCCAACACGTGAAGGGGGGTGCAGAGATACTGACGACCCTGGACCTCTAATTAGGGACATCGACATACTGGAAGAGGGAGTTGGGGGTCGCATAGACAACGAGGAAGAAGCAGCAGACGAGGATTGGGGCTTGACTGAGGTACCGTTCCTAAGGAGAGAGAAAAGTTGACTAGAAAAGGTACATTTCCTGAAGGACATGTGTGCTTGCTTCAGCGGTCTTGATTGTTTTATTTTTCCCTTTATTTAACCAGGCAAGTCAAAAAGTGGTAAAAGTTATTTTATAATAGTGGAAGAAGTAGTACTTTTTACTGTAGTAGTAGTGCTGACTATTAGGCAGATCTGGCAGTGACTGACCTGTTGTTGATGCCCATGCTGTAAATGGATGGGTGTCGCCCGGGGAAGGTGAGGAAGGACTTGTGTTTGAAGCGCGGCGGGCTGGGGTTGTGGTGGGCGCGGTGGTGAAGGCCATTTCCGGGCCGTGCGACCATGGCCGGGGAGAGGGACGGCAGGCAGGAGGAGGAGGTAGACAGGGGCTCGGGGTAAGGCGGCTCCAGGCTCCTCTCCTGGCTGCGCTCCAGGCCAGAGACACGCGGGGTGACCGCCAGCCGGGAGAGGCCACAGCGGCCTGGTAGCAGTAGTGTAGGGCAGCCTTTGCCCATAGAGGCCATGCTCACAGGAATCGGTTCCAAAACTACAGGGCGAGAAAGAACTGCATTTTTTTTTTACGTGGAATTTTTTTTCCCAAGAAAGGACACCGCATATTTTCAAATGAGTGCATACTGGGATTAAAAAATAAAATAAAAACTCAAAATGACGAGAGCATATTTATAAAGCAAAGGCATACAGATATGGGAAGGAGAGAACAGCATTTTACCTTTCCTGGTGCTGACAGTGAATATTGGCCCCATGTCACTGTCGGAGGCCTAGGGGGATGAGATGAGAGGAAAACACAAATAAATCTAAACAATAATAAGCAGGAAAAAAATACTGCTCCTCCAACAATCATAATTTTATGTGGTTTGAAGCAAACATTACCCACCTTATCTGCTGACTCGCTCTCTGTGTCACACTAAAAGAAAACATAAAAGCAACATTTAAGTGTCCCACAACATTCATAAACTACAATTATAGGATGCAGCTGCATTCTATGGTCATCTTATGTACTGTATCAATAGAAGTATAAAGAAACTTACGATGTAGCCAGTCTCCAAGAACAGGATGCCCCCACACTAAAAAAGAATAACAGTTAATATGGAAGACTGATGGTATTCACCTTCAACAGACAGTGCCTTGCAAAAGTATCTGCCACATTTATTGTAGCTGGGGACTTTAATAAAGGAAATCGGAGGAAAACACTACCAAAACTCTAATCAACACATCTCCTGTGCTACATGCGCAACACGGACCATGGATCATTGCTACTCTCCCTTCCGGGATGGCTACAAGGCCCTCCCTTCGGCAAATCAGATCATTCTGCTCCTCCACACCTATAGGCAGAAACTTAAAAACAGGAAGCTCCCGTGGTAAGGACTGTTCAACGTTGGTCTGACCAGTCAGATGTATGCGTCAAGATTGTTTTGATCACGTGGACTGGGAAATGTTCCTGTTCGTCTCTGTGAATAGTATCAACGTATACACTCACTTTGACTGGGTTCATCAAGAAGCGCATAGAGGATGTTGTTTCCACTGTGATGATTAGAACTTATCCAAACCAAAAACCGTGGATAGATGCAAGCATTCGCGCAAAACTGAAAGCGCGAACCACTGCATTTACCCATGGCAAGGTGATTGGGAACATGGACGTGTACAAACAGACCAGGTATGACCTCTGTAAGGCAAGAGGCAAAACCACAGTTCAGGGACAAAGTGGAGTCACAATTCAACGGCTCAGACACGAGATGAAAGGTCAAAATTTTTAGAACACCTACTGATTCAATGGTTTTTCTTTATTTTTACTATTTCCTACATTGTAGAATAATAGTGAAGACATCAAAACTATGAAATAATACATACGGAATCATGTAGTAACCAAAATAAAGTGTTAAACAAATCAAAATATATTTTATATTTGAGATTCTTCAAATAGCCACTGGGGCGAAGGTTCACCTTCCAACAGGACAACTACCCTAAGCACACAGTCAAGACAACGCAGGAGTGGCTTCGGGACAAGTCTCTGAATGTCCTTGAGTGGCCCAGCCAGAGCCCGGACTTGAACCCGATCTAACATCTCTGGAGAGACCTGAAAATGACTGTGCTGTGACGCTCCCCATCCAACCTGACAGAGCTTGAGAGGATCTGCAGAGAAGAATGGGAGAAACTCCCCAAATACAGGTGCCGAGCTTGTAGCGTCATACCCAAGGAGACTCGAGGATGTAACAAAGTACTGAGTAAAGGGTCTGAATGTGATATTTCAGTTGTTTTTTTTATATAAATTTGCTAAAATTTCTAAAAACCTGTTTTTGCTTCGTCATTATGGGGTATTGTGTGTAGATTGATGAGGGCCCAACGCAACACCGGGGGCACACTGCCTACCCTCCAGAACATCTACAGCACCCGGTGTCACAGGAAGGCCAAGAAGATCATCAAGGATTTTAGCCACGGCATGCTACCATCTAGAAGGCGGAGACAGTAGAGGTGCATCAAAGCTGGGACCGAGAGACTGAGAAACAGCTTCAATCTCCAGGCTATCAGACTGTTAAACAGTCACCACTAGCCGGCCTCCACCCAGTACCCTGCCCTGAACCTTAGTCACTGTTCTAGCCAGCTACCACCCAGTACTCTACCCTGCACCTTAGAGACTGCTGCCCTATGTACATAGTCATTGAACACTGGTCACTTTAATAATGTTTACATACCGTTTCACCCACTTTATATGTATATACACTGTAGTCTAGTCATGGCTCATCCAATATATAACTTTTATTTTTATGGTTTGTGTGTATTTTTTTAATTTAAATTATTGCTCAGTATTATTGCACTGTTGGAGCTAGAAACGCAAGCATTTCGCTGCACCTGCGATAACATCTGCAAATCTGTGTACACGACCAATAAACTTTGATTTGTGCTTGAAATTCAATACTTGATTGAGGGACCTTACAGACGTTGTACGTATGGGGGCCAGAGGAAGGGTTAGTCACTCAGAAATCATGACAACCCCTATTATTTCCATGTCATTTATGCAATCTGCCTAAATTTAATTCATAGGGCGGCGCACAATTGGCCCAGCGTCGTCCGGGTTTGGCCGGGGTAGGCCGTCATTGTAAATAAGATTTTTTTCTTAACTGACCTGCCTAGTTGGGGCTGAATACGTACGCTATGACTACTTTAGTTATTCATTTATCGTTAAATAAATAAAAAACATCTTCCACTTTGACAGAGTATTTTGCATAGATTTTTGACAAAATTACAATTAAATCAATTTTAATCCCACTGTAACACAATAAGGGGTCTGAATACTTTTGCAAGGCACTGTAAATGCAAATGTTGGCCCAAACCTTAGGCAGAGCAGGTGGGAAATTACATGCAGGTTAGCCATTATCTGTATCCTTTCAAAGTTCAGATGTCAAAGCATATCCAGGATCACTTTGTATTTCTTCCGCAACTCTCAGCCTTGTAGTTTTGAGCAGGGCACTTGGCTTCAACTTCGTAGATGGGTTTACTGAGTTGCTATTCTTTCTTTCATATTGTTAAAGCCAATGTTTCTTTGGGTATTTCATCTATTTCAGTACTAAAATAAAATCGACAACACCCTTGAATTTCCAAATTATACTTGCTGTGTAGGCTAACGGTCACTAGGTTGGGATGCATACCACCTGAAAATCTGGTGTCAAAGAGCAGTACTCTAGATATAGCTTACCCAGCGATATGGTATTTAGCAACTTGAAATTATCCTCACGTCTGTCTGACCTCAAGTTAATAAATCCCCATCGATTCATCACAAGCTCAGCGGACAGGATGCTACAATGTGTCACTAGTAAGTGTTACTCTTCAACAACAGGTGTGTGTAGCCTGCTAGTGCTCTCACTAGGCCATTACACATTTATGACTTCAGTCTGAATATTTGAGCTAGACAGGCCAGCTAGTTCCCACAAACAAGACAAACATGTCACAATAGCATCCAGACCAGACATGCAAATGCAGCGTTTGAATGAGCGACTTTTAAACCCAAATGTGAGATGACAACTACATACAACACCTGTGTATCTCTTGCGGCACACCTTTACCTCAGTCTTTCTTCTCTTCTTTCTATTCCTATTACAACAGCTGCGGGAGAAGCTAGGTGGGGCCCCTTCCTCGGGCTCTGAGAGGGGCCCTTTGCCATTCTCCTCCGGGCCCCTCTTCCTCTTCCTCCCCCTTCCCATGAGCATGGCGGCATGCTGGGTAGGCTTCATGGAGCAGTCCATCTGGAGAGAAGATGCATCCCAGTGTTAAACAAGCAGTACAAAACAATTAGGTTCACTGAAACTATGACAATGTGATGATTGACTCCCTATTATTTCCCCGAATTTCCCACACTGGTTTCGCTGAAATTGAATTGGCCAAAAAACAAATGAGGAAGCCTTGACTAAGAAAAGTGGATGGAGACATTTTTTTTTGGGGGGGGGGGGGGGGGGGTGAATAGCAGTCAGTGATGACTTAATCTGACAATTTCAGATTGGTCAATAAATTCCTGTTACAATGACATTGCATGTTTTAGAAACTCAGCTTTGAAGGATTTGTCTAAATATGAGTCAGTGCATGGATACTGGATTGGTGCCATTTAACTCAGCGCATGCTATATCAAATTCTAATCCTGAAATACTGGATTGTGTGGTGTTTCAACTTAACTGACAGGAATTGTTGGTCTAACGACAAGCAGATTAATAAACATAGGCTATTTGTATCGACACTGGGTGCTTGGTACACAAATAATTAAGGTTGTTAAGAAACACATCATAAAAGATCATTGTGTCTGATTCCTTTAATTGTGGTTGTTGATTTGATTTCTCTTAAGTGTTCAAAGTGTAAATGACCTGTGAATTGTAGGAAACTCAAGCCACAACTGATTCACACCTGGCGGTGTGAGGAGATGATAACCAAAATAGTTCCAAGGTGGGACTTGTCCTTTTAAGCCTCTACAGTCTAAGCCCTGTCTAAACTACAGCGCATTCGGAAAGTATTCAGGCCCCTTAACTTTTTCCACATTTTGTTACGTTGCAGCCTTATTCTAAAATGGATCTCTCTCATCAATCTACACACAATACCCATAATGACAAAGCATATTTTAGCAAATGTATAAAAAAATAAATTGGAAATATCACATTTAAATAAGTATTCAGACCCTTCACTCAGTTCTTTGTTGAAGGACCTTTGGCAGCGATTACAGCCTCGAATCTTCTTGGGTATGACGCTACAAGCTTGGCACACCTGTATTTGGAGATCTTCTCCCGTTCTTTTCTGCAGATCCTCTCAAGCTCTGTTAAAGTCCGGGCTCTGGCTGGGCCACTCAAGGACATTCAGAGACTTGTCCCGAAGCCACTCCTGCGTTGTCTTGGCTGTGTGCTTAGGGTCATTGTCCTGTTGGAAGGTGAACCTTCATCCCAGTCTTAGGTCCTGAGCAGGCTGTCATGTGCCTTTTACTGGGAGTGGCTTCCGTCTGGCCACTACCATAAAGGCCTGATTGGTGGGTGCTGCAGAGATGGTTGTCCTTCTGGAAGGTTCTCCCATCTCCACAGAGGAACTCTGGAGCTCTGTCAGAGTGACCATCGGGTTATTGGTCACCTCCCTGACCAAGGCCCTTCTCCCCCGATTGCTCAGTTTGGCCAGGCGGCCAGCTCTAGGAAGAGTCTTGGTGGTTCCAAACTTCTTCCATTTAAGAATGATGGAGGCCACTGTGTTCTTGGGGACCTTCAATGCTGCAGACATTTTTTGGTACCCTTCCCCAGATCTGTGCCTCGACACAATCTACGGACAATTCCATCGACCTCATGGCTTGGTTTTTGCTCTGACATGCATTGTCAACTGTGGGACCTTATATAGACAGGTGTGTGCCTTTCCAAATCATGTCCAATCAATTGAATTTACTACAGGTGGACTCCAATCAAGTTGTAGAAACATCAAGGATGATCAATTGAAACAGGATGCACCTGAGCTCAATTTCGAGTATCATAGCAAAGGGTCTGAATACTTATGTAAATAAGGTATGTGTTATTTTTTACCCATTTACAAAAATGTCAAAACTTGTTTTCGCTTTGTCCTTATGGGGTTTTGTGTGTAGATTGGATTAAATAAAAATGCATCATTTTAGAATAAGGCTGTAATGTAACAAAATGTGGAAAGGTCAAGGGATCTGTAGTCTTTCCAAATGCACTGTATATGGAATTGTTTTAAAGAAAGTCATACCAAGGATCATTTAGCTATTTGATTTTGAATTGTAAGACCCCTTGATGTAACAAAAAAATATATTTGGCCTTACTGCTATTAGCCCATACAAACGCATTGCTAAACAGATTCACTACATTGACCAACAGATAGTAACAAAACAAAAAAATCTAAAAGGAAGTTTGTTCTTAAGTGTCTGTCCTATATCTGAGAGATAAGAAAGATCAGGAAAGTATTTTTTTTTTTTTTTTTTTTTACATGTATTTGACCCCTTATTTCTGGCAGTAAACAATCTCCATATATACACACTTTCATTTTTTAAAAACTGGTAAGAGGACCTTCAGATGAGTCTTGTGAGCATCCTAGAGCAAAACTACATGTAGGTATGTGTTCACCAGTAGCCCAAACTGTTCGGAAGCTACAGACAGAAGTTGGCAGATTGGCTTTAACGACTTCAGATGAGTCACAACTCGCTTGAACACAATCGGGGTCGTGAGTCTCATCTTTCCATAGAGGGGTCATAATTGTTTGTAGGCCAAACCGTTTGGACGCTACAGAGGTTTTCGTGAGAACGATTTTCGGGATGTCTCATGGTCTGACAAACACGCTCTAGCTCTGCCACCTTCACCGCAGATGGGGAAGTGCGATATCGGCAGATGTGGTTGATTAAGAGAGAAGCATCCAATGCAAAAAAACAGATCTAACTGATTTCGATGGGAATGTTTTTATTATGCTAATTAGATGTACGCTGGGCCGCGGAAGTCGACTCTAGGGGGTTTAAATTAAAGAGATTGAGAGAAGACAATTCACTTCTGTGGAGACCATTGACAAATGTTATTTACATACGGTTTAATAATATGTAAAGTCCATCATATCTGAGTATTGTGCTCACATAAGGAAAGACAGACTCTTACCTCCAGGGCCTCAAAGCTGATGAAGCTGGCAATTGAGAAGCCATCGATGATGTCCTCCTCGCAGTACACAGACTCTCGCTTCCTCCGCCGAGGAGGCCTGTGTCTGGGGCCGGGGAACCCTGGTCGACATTCTCTACCTCCAGGACCGAGTACAGATCCTGGCCCGCAAAGCTCCTTTTCCGAGCCCGAGGAGGCAGATGTGGCCCGCTGCTCAGCAAGGTCTACTCTTCTCCTGCGCCGCTCTCGGTCTCGTTGAGAACGGGAGCGTCGGCTCTGTCTGAACCCACTGCTTCGACTCGGACCTTCCATGTCAAAACAAACAGCACCAGTCTGTCTAACCGAAGGCACTTTTTTTTAAATCCGTCCCGGTCGAAGGCACTTTCCTTAGCCCAAAGTTAAACACCACCAGACAGGCCCACACCGGGGCCCCTGTTTAAAATGGCGTTAAAAGTAACTTTAGTCTATTTAGTGTCTTTTGCGGACAGGATGGCATCTGTGCCTTTCTCTCGGCTAACTTTGACTGTCATGTCAATGCACTAAGATTAAATCTTTATTTCCAGAATTTGTGGTATTAGTTACTGTGTTCAGCAGGAGTAATGTCAAGTAAAACTGTCAAGACATTGCTAATTCTCAGTCTCAAAGGCAAGCCAACAACCAAATATGCGTATGTAAATAAAAATGACTAACGTTAGTTAGCTGTCCAACTTAACTTTAAGTTAGTTGTTATTCACCAAAAACACGTATTTTATACCAATGTTACATTTACTGAGGTACTAAAACTAAAATGTAAATACACACCCATCTCGTTCTTATTACAATTTCGGCACGAGCTGACAAATTAGTTAACTAGCCAAATCGCTCATTAGCCGATGATAACTAGCTAACGAACGATAGCTACCTGCCACGGCCAAATCACCAGAGTAAGATAATTTGTTGCCAATTTCAAGCAGATATAGCTAGCTCATTTAATGTATCCACACAATTATTCCAAGCGTCTTAGTTAGACAGTTTGATTAACTGTTTTTGTAGCCAACTTTAGCCATACATAAGAATTATGTTCACTTGGTAGTTGCTACCTAGCTCAGTCAATGTTACCTAGCTAAATGTATTCAAGTGCTTTATTATGCTAGTATTAGTTAGATAGGTAACTAGTTAATTAACTAGCCAGTTTATTACAACCTCAATGTAGCTAATTATCACGGAGTAGGCAACGTAATAATAAAAACAATTATTTAAATACCTTCCGAAGTATTGACTAGCACAAAATCCATAACTAGCTGTTACCCTGCAGCTGGCAGTAAAGCGAACATTTTCTCCAGCCTGACGATGGGCCCGATACGAATGGTTGAATTATCAAAGAAAGACGTAGTTAGCTAGTCTTAGTTGGGTAGCGAGCTAATTTAGATACCTAGCTAATCCAAACAATTACTGACGTTATATGGTGACTATTGTCAACCACTATCCGTGTGTTATTGATGTCTCTTCCTACACCAATTTGTTTTTGCTCTACATCCATTAAAAACGAAATTATTCAAGGCCCTACTGAAGCCTCGGTCTTGAGTTCCATTGACGAGGGTATCGACCAAGCCCCTGGCAGGACAACTCCTTCAGCGGCCCACACTGTAATCCACTTGTGTCGGGGGGAGTTGAATTATTTGCCAATGTTTCCGGTCGAACCAAATATATCCTAAACAGTCTTGAAGTACAAACAAAATAGCACGATTCTCTAACGACTGTTACCTTTCATTTGGAAACAAATTGGAAAATTGAAGATTTGGGAGACAACCCTTGTCAATTTGCATTGTGCGCTTCAGCGACTCCTCGCCTATCAGGGTCAGGGTTGCCAGGTCAGACAAATTTTTAGACCAACGGCCACTGAAAACCCGCTTGAAAACTAGCCCAATTTTTCACAGCAAGAGAGTTGCTGTTATATTTATACAAAAAAAATAAAAAAAATCCATAACGTTATCTAGCCAATTAAGAAGGAATATCATAGTACCTTGTAACGACGTTAGAAGCAAAATTAGGGTTTCCTCAAAATAATATTTATTGCAAGCTATGACATGACGTAAAAGTCATTTGAATATGTGGCAAGCGAAAATATAATTCGCCCTTATTAAACTCACCAGATCATTTGCACAAGGTGGCATGGTATATGACCAATATACAACGGTTAAGGGCTGTTCTTAAGCATGATGCAACATGGACTGCCTGCATACAGCCATTAGCTGTGGTATATTGGCCATTACCCCAAACCTCGGGGCTGCCTTATTGCTATTATAAACTGGTTACCAACATAATTACAACAGTAAAAAGTAATGTTTTGTCATACACGTGGTATGTGGTCTGATATATCAGGGCTTTCAGCCAATCAGCATTCAGGGCTCGAACCAGGTTAATAATTGTAAATAAAGCCCCTTTGTGCATGTGCATAACTACAGATAAATCCGACAGGAGAGTTTTGAAAGTTGGACAGAGGATCTCGAAATCTCTGAGCAAGAAAAACTTGGATGAACATAAAAAAACGAATGTTAGGCTATTTTCTGTCAATTGTGCTGTTATTATGTGCCAAATGTTAAGACTACAAGAAACACTTGGATGAACATAAAAAAACGATTGTAAGGCTATTTTCTGGCAATTGTGCTGTTATGTGCCAAATGTTAAGACTACAAATGGCCCATTTACAAGATTGATTTATCATTTCAATAGGCATAGGCTACAGACTAAAATATGGGTTTATGATTTATTTATCAATTTTGCCATGGTTTGCTTCGATAAAGACATGTAGCCTATAGCCCCTGATAGGCCTACATCTCATTTCAGATAGTCTACAGTAGCCTAGGCAAGATGTAAACTGAACGATTTAGCAGCTTGCTTAGTTCTAATTAACAGACTAATTTACTCAACATGAATAGCGAGGCGATTAAGAAGTAAGAAGTGCTTATGTGTTTCCCTGCTGGAATATGCTAAGGATGGGATGGGGTCATAATTTCAAATCACTGAATTAAATATTAATAATATGTAGATGAACTGAATATGCTTGTCAACAACAGCCAGTATTTATTTTTTAGAATTTGTTTTACCTGTAGGCTAATCTAATGCGTTCTAACAACTGATCGGCAATTGCAATAGCGCTTTAATAATTTCCAATTTAATTAACTACACATGTCCATTAATAATTGCATAATAACACAAGGCTACAACAGTAGTAAACTGAAGTTATAGGCTATTTATTAAATTGGTTTGCCAGCTCCAGGTAGGCTACACAAGTGGCACAAATTGATTTACAATGACTCCAGTGATATCGTCATTTCAACATATTTATTGTATCAAATGGTAGCCTACAATTGCATATACATTAGTAGGCTACTTGATGGCCAGCAGAGGCAAATGTATCATTCTTCACATTTAGCATAATGTCAGTTTCATTGAGGACTTTTCCCCATAAAAATAACCAGGCGAGGGAGTTCCATAACTTCCATTTCAAATTTCCACTCGGAAGCAGCAGTCTAAACCACCTCCGAGCGAATTTATGTAATGCGCTCTAGTGCGCCCAAAGTCGTTTTCCAGTACGTTGTCTTCATTATTTCTTGATGTGCATCAGTTCTAGCGTATTAATATGTTTTATGGAAAATGGGTTGGAAATAGGTTTCTCCATAATGATAATCGAAATAGCCTATCTACAACTGGTAAAAAGTTGTCACAACGTGCGCGCGTGCTACTCGCTCTCGCTCACGTGACTCAGCCAATAGCTGTACTTCTCTCTCAACACACACCCATCCCGCCCTCCCACCACTTACTCACTCAGTAACAGCCTGCCTCACTGCCTGACAGTCAGCAGGTCACAGTGAAATATATATTTTAAGAGAAATGCCATGGCGGCCGCGCTGCAACTTAGAAATAGTCTAAAAACCTGCGACAAATAAATGTTAACCTGCGACATCGTTTTCAAAGGAGGCCAATTTGCCAGGAAAACCGCGAACATGGCAACACTGATCAGGGTAGTTGGGAAATTGATACCACTGCAAGTGCGTTACTGCCACCAAGTGGAAACCCTCCAAAACGTTGAGATACTCCTACCCGAGGTCTAACAAAACAACTATGTTTATTATCTCTGAACGTCTCCCATCCATGAAATGGATGTTTGTAAAAATATTGTTGTATTTGACTGCAAAAGTGGTTAAAATGTGTAGATATGACACAAGTCAAATGTTCTCATTCAGTACTGTATGGTCCTGCCTGACCATATGTTACATGTTTCTTGATGTGGCTATTGTAAATCGGCTCTAAGGAAAACAAATTGGATTATCTTTATATTTGCCAGAAATCCAATATATGGCATCAAATCCAATATGTCTGCCATAATAACATTTGATGGAGGTTAAATCACCTGTAAATATGAATTGTGTAAATGAGGCATTTGTTTTCAGCATAAAGACAGTGTAAATCAATTTAATATTGAATCCAATATGGCCAACATGATTACACTCAAACACCTTCGCCTGCATATAAGTAGCCCTCTTTCATTTTGTATTGTGTTATTCTGTCTTTAAAGCCATCCTCCAGTGATTTTTGAACTTTTCCTGTTGAAAAGTGATATCCCAAGTGTAAAGACATTTTCTAGTTTTGAAAGGACTGTATGGCTGGTTTTAGTAAGAATGGTGAAGGCCGCCAAAGGGCTCCTGTCAGAGAGACTCAGATTTAGGACTTCTCTTTGATCAGTTTTATTATGGCAGTTGAATCATCAGAGAACATTGTAGTAGTATGTATGGTTCAAGGAACAAAGGAAAGAAGTGGCAGTTATCAAGTCAACATATCCACAATAGACAAAAGCAGGCTTCAATTACCCTAGTTTACACAGTTCAACAATACACATTCACCACATAATGCTACCCCAAAAGTGCTAAGAGCAGCAATACTGAAATGGCATAAACTTGCCCAATATGTTAACAGCTAAATGCTACAACAATATAACACAGTACTCTAAGTCAAGGGGTAAGTAGCAGTATTTGATTGGCAGTAAGAACTGAAATTGACAATATGCTACATGCTAAGTAGCAATAGGCAAACAATAGGGCAGTAGAGCATCAAAAGTAAGGTTCAAACATAATCTGATAAGTAAGAAACTATAGCACAAATCACAGCACACAGTAACACATTACATCAGATCGAGAACTCACTTCAATCAAATGACACATACTGGAGTGTCCTGGGATGATGACTGCCAGACAATTCATTGTTTGGTGTGTGTGTCGGCCATCTTAATATGGTCAGAAGGTGACCACCATTGGATAAGCACTTTGGCAGTG